ATTCTTAGCTTTTAAAATGTCGTAAAATCCTTAGAAGCTTAGGGGAAGTGGAGAGTGTAGAAGACCTGTAACAAAATATTAAACATTAGAATTTGTATTTTAAAGCAAAGCAAAATCTTAAGTTGGAGATAATGAAAGGTTCTTACATTCTTGGCTTTAGAGCCACCGTTGGATTTTCCCCCAGAAATAAAAAAAAATTATTGCTGATGTGAATTGTCTGTAACAAAAAGTCAAACATTATACTTTGTTGTTAAATTTGAAAAGTTGAATAAATTAGAGTACAATATATAAAACTACTTACGATCTTGACTTCCTGGAGAGGCCTTATCCTCTTGAGCACTGACTTTAATACCGAAAACGAGTATTGAATAAGAAAAAATATGAAAAAAGAAAAATAAAAGGCTATCAACGCGCGCGTTAAATAACAATCGGCGGACTCACTGATTCTAGCTTCGCGAATTATAATTTAAATGAATTAATAATTTAATTTAAGGAGCTATTTTGCTCAGAAAAATATTAAAATATTGCGCAACAAACACTGACTCTATCGACCGCATTGCGCGCGGTTAGAAAAATTTTCTGAAAATAAAACTGATTATTAGAGAGAGAGAGCAAAAGATACGTTCATTTAGAAAATATTACTACTTTTCTAGAAAATGATTATAAAGAAACTTAAATGTGTATTAAATTAATAGTAGTTGTAAATTATAAAATATTTCTCAATAATGAAAAACAACCAGTTGCAAAAACTATATTCTGAATGTTTGTTATTAGAATAGGATGTATGCACATCAGTAATATATCACGAGGTGTGTTATAAATATTCGAAAATGTTTGCACAAATCAGAATTTGATAACAAACAATACCACAAAAGACGCGTGTGAAATTTTGCTTTGAATCGTTTAATTGTACGTCAGTGTTTAAAAGAAGCAAACATAATAAAGTACACAGTAAAGTACATATAATATAGTCAAGTACGAAAACCGCCAATCTAATACAAGTATATACATATATTTATAATTACTACTGCTACGACCTCTATATTCGAAATAAAATATTAATTGATTTAATCTTTCCTATTTTCATCTTTGCATTCCAAATAATTACGAAATTATCGTGAATTGTATTTCAAATATATGTGAATTTTATACCACGTTACTAAAAATAAATATGATGTTACCAAATTTTCGTGAAACATCATCAGGTCGACTTATAGCCGTGGCGTTCATGCGTTCTATGCTATCTTTACAATCAAAGAGTAAAAACCTGCACAAAAAGAAACCAAAAGTGTCAAATGAAGGCAAATGTGTAAGAAGGAAACGATAATCAATTTCAAATTTTATGAAAAAAGTATAAGACACGCTACCAGTAAACGTACGAGTGAAATCGACGATTGAAGAAAAACTGGCGCGAAAAGTTTCAAATCACTGCACGATTTCGTTGTCGTAATGCTCTTTTACTACCAATTAGATATAAATGGAAGTAAAAGAGTGTCGAAGAAGCGACGCCATCGAAAAGACGCCACCGATAGGTTAGAAAAACTTCTGTATCTGATACAACGTAATACGTGTTATTGTTATGGAATTCGACAGCCGAATGACTCCCCGCGACACAGCTCGTCTGGCAATTGAGAAAGTAGTAGGGGAAGGGGCGATCCTGAACGAACAGGTACCTTACACACACACGCAAGCGTTGTGTTTATATTGTTTTGAACTTCGAATTTCCGAGCTTCAAGGATTTCTATCTCGCCTTCGTACGTACAGATAAATATTTTGTTTCTTAATCTTGCATCAGGCACATAAGTTCCAAGATTCTATTGGGAAATAATTCTAAAAAAATTAGAAAACAACATCTGTTAGGAAATATTTCCTTAATTTTGCGTAGCAAGTAACAGAAACAAAAGTGATTTTCTGTAATATGAAAGTACCACCTTTTGCAATTGTGTACACTTGCTTCCGATTGATCGAAAAGTTCAGATGTTACTTATCGCCAGATGTTACTTGCACGTTTGCAACATTATTTCGGGATTTCTGGAAACCATTATTTCGAAATAACTGTGAAAAATTGAAGATTTTTCTGAAATTATTTGGGAAATTGTATAAAGAAACGTGTAAAATGGAAAATTTTGTTAATATAGTATATAATGTATTATATCAAAGGTCAAACTAATGATTTCTCGGTAACTTATTTTGCATAGAGATTAAATTATCATATCTGTAAGCCATTTTTACGTAGGCTTTCAAACATTTAAATTATCCATTGGCACAGAACAAAGAAAAATTTGAAATTTCCTCGGATGAAGATGAAACCAACATATACATAATTTCGTACAAATTTATCTTTTGATGGTAAAACGATTATTATATATATATTAGATGTTTACCATACTTATGCATGTATGTATCTTAAAATATTCATTACAACACATAGAACATTATATAACTTTATACATTTATATAATAATATTTAGCAATTATATTCTTTGAGATAACTCAAAAAAAGGTAACTTTGATTTTTTTCAGATGCTTCATTAGCTGGTGATATTTTTTATTAAAAACTACAATACCAAGAATGTTAAAATACAAGATCAAGAATCGCAAGTCGTCAAGTCATTAAAATTTTCAAATTTCGGTACACGAAATACATCCAGAAATTGAAATGATTTTTGATAAGAAGAAGACTAGTAAAGTTACTTTGGATATTAAAAAAAAGTACAGTGCGAATAATTGCTACAAATAAAATAATTTCATTTTTACAGGAAGGAATAAAGATTTTTAACATAGAGAATAACTGGCCTGGAAAAATTGGACGAGCAAAAGTAGGAACAGTTGTTTGTTTCATCCTACACATTCATGTAAAAAGATTGCCAACGTCGTTATTCAAAAACTTTATTTCAAATGATAATCTCTTGTTCTTTCCTGTATGATTATCTATCTTATTAATTTTTATATATCTGGATGTACAAAATATTCAATAATTTTTCATCAACAATATTATAATAAATTATCACAGCATTCTAAGAATTTATTATAATTATACCTCATCTAGAATAATAAGTTATAAGTCACAGTAGCTTACAATGACAATTTTGAACGATTTTACAAAATGTTAAAAATATTAATAAAGTATTTAATATGTTAATACTTTTAAACAATTATAACTCAAAAACTAATAGAAAAAAATAACTGTGGATTTAGTTTCACCATGTAAACAATACATAAATTATAATTAATATTGCAGTAAATTGATATAAACAGAAATTTATAATAAATCTCTTACGAATCTTTATTTACCATGAGTATTCTTAAATTATTAATTGTCAAAATGGAAAATGGAAAAAATGTATTAAAGATTGTTAATTCTTGCTATCACTAGCTATGAAAAATCAAACATTATTTGAACGAGAGTTTTGACGTATTGAGTGGAAATTTCAAACCTTTATTTATATATTTTATAGATCAGATGGTAATAAGAAGAAAATTTAGAATCTAAAAATGAAGATACAACTGCAAAATTTATAAATTACTCCTGTTAATTGCTTTTTCTCGTAAATGAAAATTTAACTCATTTATGAACACTGAAATGCTAGCGTCGCGTAGCGGAAAAATAGTGGAACTAAATTCTATCGCTGTCCTTGTCGTACACTAGTACGCTTCTTGTCACTCTCGCATCATATAAGTCTGCCTTCGTCATACACTATTGCTCTCCTTGTCTATCGTCTCACATATGTCTGTCTTCGTCACACACTATTATTCTCCTTGTCTACGCATTACATAAGACTGTCTTCGTCGCACAGTCTTGCTCTCTTTGTCTATGAACAAGCCAAGTGCTGTCATCTATCGGAGGAATGTAGAACTAACTTGTCGGTTTTAGTGATTATAATGATAATATTGTAATACTACAAATAAATAAGAACTTCGTGACTTTAGTAACTTTTAATAAATTATAATAAATTATATAACAATGAAGTTTATAGCAAAAATAGATAACTGTTTTCTACAAATGTTAATTAAGGAATGAATAACTAATTCTAAAATGGAGTCTATATATACATCTCTATCAACAAATAAACATAGTAATAACATCTCCATAGTGATAATAAAAATAAAATGTCAATTTACAATTTGCGATGTCGATTTACAGGAATCGTACTTTTCGACAGAACATTTTTGTAGATGGCATTGATGTTAATTTTGGAGATGTAATTTTGGAGGTCGTTACACGGTTATAGTGATTATGATAATTTATATTTATATCACAATACTATAAATAAATAATAACTCTGTAATTAATTTTAGTTGTTATGTATAAAAATATTATCAATATCACAAAATATACAATTACTAATAATTTAATGAAGATTACATAATGGAAGTTAAATGACGAAATAACGAATGAAGAATTTCTACTATGACTACAATGTATATAAGTGTCAGTAGACACTTGGTGATAATGAAATTAATAGCTATTTTTAAATATTCTATTGTTTATATTAAATACACATCTCGACGGAACATAGATGTCGTTGATCTAAATTCTTCGAAGTAGAGGTCGCTACACGGTAAAGCAACGTGCTGCCATCTATCGGATTTTTCCAATTTGCTCTTTTAGTTTCAATCAAAAATTAAAAAACTTAGATGGCAGCACCATTTGGAGACAAGGATCGCACTTCTGTGCAACAAGAATAGAGATAGATTTTAGTTCCACCATTTCACCGCGGCACTACGCGGCGCTAGCGCTACTTTTCATAAATTTTAAAAACTTTTAGGATTGAACATCTCAGAAACTAGGAGGTATTTCTGGCTGAACTTTAGAATTTTATATCAAGAAAATATAAAGATTAAGTAGATAGCATGCCAAAGCCCTAGAGCCGACTATGCTCCTAGTATTTCAAATTTTTTTTAAATTTTTAATGTCAATATTGGATTAAAATAACATAAAGATCTTTCTACAAGTTTTTAAAAATTACAATAAAGGATGTTTGTCAAAACCAATTCTATTTATTTAATTTAAATCTTTATTTAGTTTGTAAAGCGTACATGAAAGTAAGGATTTTTTTATTTTAATTTTACAGTTTTTTTTATCCTGCTACTGAATTTATTTTGACATTAAGTGCAGTACAAAAATTGGTATAGAAATAGTTATTTTATATATGAATATAATAAGATATAAGCTTACAGATTTATTAGTATATAAAGAAGTATTACAATGTTTAAAAAATATCTATATTTGGAAACTCTCTTATAGAGTAAATTCGTTATCACAGTAATAACATATATTCGTTACGAGATTTTCTTATTGTAATAAAAAAGCATTATTATTGCTGAATTAGTCGTAATAAATTACAAAACATTACATAAATTATAAAATATATTTGCTATTTAAATAGCAAACGTTTCTCGAATACTAATAATCATTTCTCCAAGAACGTAATATATATAAAAATTATAATTTAAAGTCACATAAATTATTCATTAAATAATACTTTCTCCTATAGAAAAATTATACAATAAGAATTTCCATTACTGTATTTACATATTACTATAGCGTTGTTGATGTAACAGCACTAACACCGTGCACTAATACTGTAGGTGGTAAATCTGCTGTTAATTCTGTTAACAGCTGAAGATATTGACGATATATAGTATTCTCGTCCCATGTATTCGATACTGGAGGTGCAGGTAAATACATAAATATTGTAGCAGTTTGTAAAGAATGTTGTTTGATTAATTGATTTACACTGTAAATTAAAATGAACATTTTAAAAACGAAAATAAAATATTCATATATACGATACGTACCTCAAAATATAAGCACGTGAAACATTGCTCAAGACATTAGTACTTTCGGTGCTTGATTCATATTGATTTTCCACTGCCGAATCAATAAGAGAGTGTCCTTTTATTCCACTTATTTGTGTTCCCCAATTAGGAATCTTTTTAATAGATGCAGATATTCTTAGCATATTTAATAATTTTCTTATACGAAGTTCGTTAGAAACTCGTGGAAATTCGCTAATTGAATTTTGTGAATCTGAGATACTCAAACTTGCATTACTTTCTGAAACTTCACAATGAAATACCCTAAGATGCAGATTTTTCCATACAGGTACCATATTAATAATACACGCAAGTTGCAACATAAACAACGATGTTGTATCAAACGGATCTTGATCTGTTGGTTGGAAAAAATTCACGGGCCATACATCTATATATTTTAAAGCCGAATTTCTAAAAAGCAAAACATGAAAAATTATAAAACGATACAAATTAATTATATATTCTAAAGAAAAATTGATCTCGTATACATACTTAGCTATTTGTAATTTATTTAACGTATGGAAATTTCGACATAAACATAAATTTTTTTTCATTTTTAACACGTCTGAACACATTCCTACATATTGTATTGAGTCCAGATTCTTCTCTGCATTTGTATGCCTTAAAGGAAATACAGTACTATTTGGTAAGGTTGAAATGTTTTCAAATATGTCAGTTGCATATTGTGAATTCTTGAAAAAATCTATCGGCGTTTCTTCGTCATAAAAACCAAGAACAATTGTATTTGGTTTCATAGCTCCCATTCCTGATATCCTAATTAAGTGGTGTAGTCCTTCACGTACAGTTTTTGTAACTGTTAACTCGACAAATGCCTTTACTTTCATATGGTCAACTAAACTTAACCAATGTGGATACTCTTCTATAGTGGGATCAATATTCTGGCCTAAAAATTCTCCAACTTTTACGTGTCCTATTACATATAATCCTCCCTTTTTTAGATCATTTACAAAATCTATAAGTGGGCACGCTGATCGTGGAGACGCTACCATTAAGAGCATTTGTGGTCGCCAAAATTTTACATGATCTTTACGTGAATCTAACATTAATAAGTACTTCCGGACTTGATGAAATATAAGTGCTTGAGATATGCTTCCCCAAGGGGCGTTTTTACTCGGCGAAAATAAATGCAACACAATGATTAAAATTAAGCAAAGTATTATACTACTAGAAGCATAAATACCATTTATAACGAACATCATTATCAATGTACCAAGAAGACCAATTGTAGCTGTATGCCATGTAAAATAATTAAATGTTGGTCTGAAAAAATATACGGACATTTGATTACTTTATTTTCCTAAAAATTAAAAATTAAAGATTATATAAATCTGAAATAAAAGATACCTAAAGTTTGGAGCACTTGCAAGTTCAAGTCCGAGACAGGCTAAATTAGTAGCCAAATAACTTAGCAAGAACAATACTGAATTAAGCTGTGCAATGATATTCAAGGAACCTATTAATAAAATTATTTGAACCAAAGTCCATGAAGTTAAAACTGCAGCAATTGGATTTCCTTTCCATGTCCCTTGTATAATAAAGTTTAAACCGGAACCTATAAATATTAAAACGCAAAACAAAATAAATAAATACAAGTAAAATTTATAAAAACTTTATATCTTGATCACTTACCAAACACGTTATCTTTCGCTAAAGCTTCTAAAACTCTACTTGACCCTATTAAATTACTTAAACCTGCACTAAATGTTGCTGTTAATATACCAACTGCCACAAATGGTGGCCAAATATTAATTGGCATCATATACATAAAATCATTTTGCAATAAAAATCGACTTGTACTAGCAGCTGTAAGAATAGATAAAAGAATATAACATATAAATGTAAATAATACTGCTGACAGAGTTCCACGTGGAATGTTCCTTCCTGGATTTTTCAATTCACCTATAAAAATAATTATCATATTAGAATTTAAAATGTGAATAAGAATCAAAATTATTCTTTATAATAATTAATATATTTTGGTAATTTTATTTTTATAAGTACCGCTCATATTAGCTCCAGCCATTATACCAGTAACACCACTAAATAATACACCGAAAACACTTGCAAAATCAGTCATTGCTCCTTTACTTGAATAATCTGCACTATAGTTTGGATAAAGATTACCCGCAAGAGTAGATGACAATAATCCTGTGTAAGTGCCATTAACATGTTCTGTTGCATTTTGAACCAGTGTATTTGCATCTGGAATTGGTATCTGTAATAAAAGATGAATCGTGTATTTGCTATAACATTTGATAACTTTCATGTTCTCTATGATATTACCTCCATATATCCTTTGGCCAAAAAACTTATAAAAACACTTATTAAACAGATACATACAACAGCCAAGATTGCAACACTAGTTTTTGCAAACATAGCAGCTCCGATTAGACACACCACTAAATTGGCAGTGTTTAATATAGAACAGTATAAAAATCTCCACCACCCACCATCTGGTATCAGTGCACTTTTACCAGACAAATAACCAGATGGTCCGAAACTTTCTATCAAACCTTCTGCACATCCAGAAATACAAAGAGCACTTGACACAATATTAGCCATAAAAAATAATGTACCAATAGAACCACCAAATTCTGGTCCAAGTGTACGACTAATCATAACTATATAATAATTAATAAGAAAAAATTTATATAAAATGTATTTAAAATTCTACAATATTGGAATTTCTATTAAAAACTTGCTTCAAAAGAAAGTATATATACATATATTAGAAATTCTACATATTAGAAGCACAAGATGTAACTCATATTTTATCTCTATCTAACAGATGAATTTTATTTTTATTTGTAACTATTGAAAATAATAAAGACTACTGAAAATAATGAAATTCAAACAAGGATACAATATGCACCACCTCCTTCAACTGCTCCATTAGTTGAAATTGCACACACAGATGCTACAGTAAATAGTAAAATCCCATATGCAATTACAAATTGTATCAAAGTGACAAATAATCCAGCATTGCCCACAATGTATCCTATAATGCAAAGTTTATTTTTATGATATTATATTCGTATATAATTATAGAAACAAAATTAATTAAGTATTTTGTATTACTTCTATAAAATTCATACCCATTCGTATGAAAATTAAGGCACTGAACATGGATAATGTTACAGGACTAAATACACCAGCAAATGTTCCCAAAGTACGACTGCTATCTACATTCAAACTACCAAATTCTACATATCCATCTCCTTCTGCATGTTGTACTCGTCCAAATTTAAAGAAATTACTTAATCTGTATAGAACACTTCTTCCATGGATTAAAGGAGCTTTTTCACTACTGATCTTGACATGTACAGGTTCATTGTTCGTTGAACCTACCTCTGAAGCCATCATTTTTCCTAATTTTCTAAATCACAATCAATAATTTATAAAAAGATACATATGGTAGTACCAATCTTTACAACATTTTAATGATTACACTCACACTTTATTACAAATTGATCAATAGTAAAAGTATAAAAATTGATTGTTTATTTATTTCATTAAAATTTAGAACAATAAATCTTCTGACTTATCTACGAAGCTATTGTTATAAAATTGAACATCAAATCTTTTATTAATGATTTACCTTAAAAATATATCAACACACTTGATCTTTTGTATTGTATGTACATAACAGTGTATAAAACATTGACAGCGAGAAACTTATGGTAAAATGTCAAATCGTAGCTGATTACACAATGTATGTACAATGATTTGAGATTATCAAACTCATGTGAAACTGTTAATTATGACTGTTCGCTGCATTTATTACAGCTACTAGTCACTTCGTAAGTTTAGAAAAATTATCGTATCTTTTATTTCTCTTTTTCTTTCTCTTTCTCTTTTTTAATATTATAAAAATTCCCTATCTCTTTGTTCATGGAAGTTCTCAATTTACGCTTGGTATTACTGATATTAAAACCATACATGTAATATGATTTTGTAATAAAAGAATATTTAACAAAAATATATGAAATAAATGTTAATTTGAATGTAACATGAAAATAACATTTTTATATAACTGTTTTCTATCTAAATATCATTTGTAAAATACTGAAATGAAATAAAAAACAAAAATTCTTAATTAACATACATGTAAATAATAATAAAAAATCATTTAATTAATAATTAAATTAATTAAATTTGCTTTAATACATAATAATAATATTATTGATTAAGAATAAAAATTCTTAATATATAAGACCATATGAATTAAAATCTTGTCTTAGCTTAGATAGGTAAACATATGATTATAGTATTCTATTGCATGATCATTAGTTAACTGATTATGATTTCTTAGTCATTGTCGACATTATCCGAAAGAATTATTTTTTTAATAAACATTTGAATATTTATCATATAGAATACTAAAATGGTTATATGCGTAAGAAACTTGGTTTTACCGTTATCACGATCAATTGTCACAAATTTTACATCAGTTCGTCAAATGAGCGCTACTGTTAAAACAGATTTTGTAAAATCTTTACTTTATAAAGAATATGGAGATCCTGTAGATGTTCTACACGTTACAACACAATCTATTGATCAACCAGAAAACAATCAGGTAATTCAATTAAAATAACATTTTTTTTAAAACATTCTAATAGAAAGTTATTAATTTTTTTTATAAAGGTCTCTGTCAAATGGTTGTTAGCACCTGTTAATCCAGCAGACATAAATACAATACAAGGTAAATATCCAAGCAAACCACCTTTACCAGCTATTCCAGGAAATGAAGGAGTAGGTGAAGTAATAGCTGTTGGATCTAACGTGAAACATCTAAATGTTGGTGACAGAGTTATACCAAATGGTATACATTTAGGAACATGGAGAACACATGCAAATTATACCGCAGAAGAGCTTATGAAGGTATGTAATATGTTCCCAAATAAGATTTGTATGTATTTATCACAATGGTTTAAACATTAATCCACGTTAAAATCTTAGGTTCCAAAAGAAGTTGATGCTGTAGAAGCTAGTATGTTAAATGTAAATCCATGTACTGCATACAGAATGCTTAAAGATTTTGTAGAACTAAAACCTGGTGATACTGTCATCCAAAATGGAGGAAATTCAGCTGTTGGACAAATGGTTATACAATTATGTAAAATGTGGAATTACAAATCTGTTAGCGTTGTAAGAGACAGGCCAAATATAGAGGCATTAAAGGTATAAAAACAATTAAAATTTAAATTTCTATTCCAATCCAATAATGAAATATTTATAGAATCACTTGATAAGTTTGGGTGCAGATGAAATTCTTACCGAAAGTGAAATAAAGAAAACTCAGATTTTTAAAAGTAAAAAGTTACCTTCACCAAAATTAGCTCTTAATTGTATATGTGGACAAAATGCATTGGAGATTTTAAGACATTTAGCACATGGAGGTATTATGGTAACTTATGGTGGTATGTCCAGAGAACCTTTAACAGTTCCAACTTCTGCATTTATTTTTAAGGTATTTCAATTAAAATTTATAATGTGATGAATAATATACAAATCAAGTTATAATTAGATTGCGGATATTTATGTAATTTTGTATTTTTGCAAAGATAATTTAAACAATAGAATCTATGCAGAAACTTATTTTACTTATTAAATATTGTTTAATTATTGTTTAATTATTGTATTTTAAATATTTTATATTTTTCCATATAATTTACGTGTCCATTTTTACATAAACGCATACAAATCTGCAGTTTAGTTATAATCAAATCAATAACGTTTGCTAACAATCTCAAACATTTGACAGGATATAACATTAAAAGGATTTTGGATGACAGCATGGACAAAAGCAAATATGAATTCCGAAGAGCGTGAAAATATGTTTATTGAATTAGGAATATTATTCAAGAATAAGAAATTAAAAGCTCCACCACATAAGTTAGTTCCATTTTGTCAATATCAGGAAGCTGTTATTAATGCAATTCATACAGATGGTCGAATAGGAGTGAAATACATTTTGGATATGACCAAATCATAAAATAAACTTTTTCTTAAATTATAATTTAGTTTTGAGCATACTATTTCTCAACGCATTTCTTCAACATCTAGTATTTTTTATATGGATTAGAAATAATTATATTTATTGCAATACAAGAAATATATTATTTCATAATATTTAGTATAGTACATATTTTGTAGTGCATTTTTAAATAAAATTTTAATGTAAAATAACGCTAACTACAATTCATTATTAAATATATAATATACAATAATTTAAAATAAGGTTACAATTATTTTCTATATAAAAACAAAATATATACATTACAAAACAGAATACTATTGTTCTACATGAAAGAACACTATAAAATATTTATATATAAATGTAAATAAAAAATTAAAGAAAATTTTTACTTATTATATTAATTATCACAACATAATTGAAAAAGTAAAAATTAAATAAAATTATTCTGTTTTATCTAAAAGTTCTAATAAATTCATGTTATGTTTTATAGTTTCATGATCATCAAAAAGATCTGCGCGTACGACATCAAGTTTCATTTTATAATCTTCATTAAATTTTGTTTTTTCAGAATTAACTACTGTATCATTTTCATTATCTTCTTTAAAATTAGAATCGTCTTCTTCATCATTTGCATTATTATTATCTTCATTTGAAAACAAATTCAAAGTAAAAGGTCGTTTGTACGAAGTTTCTTCAGTTCCCAACTGAACAGCTAACATACCAAGCTCTGCTTTTATACCACAATCTTTAATGTAATTATGACTTTCTTGTTCAGAAGTTTGTTTTGACATGTCGTATGACATTGAATACCTGTATAATATGCTTCTTATACAAAGAGTTTGGTAATCTTATGTTTAATACTTACATATTTTTGCCCAGTATTGTTTCTCGTTCACCAAAAAGATTAAAAGAACCACCACAGTAGGTTTTCACATCTATGTCGCATAATTTTGTATCAGAAAGGCGAGTTTTGTTTTCTTCATATTTTTCATTGTACTTATAATACGTTAAATTAAAACTACCATCATCATTTTGTAATCCAAGTCTGAGAAGAATAGATACCTTTACGCAATAATACTCCAATTCTTTCAAACAATCGTTTCTGGCATTCCAAACTTCTTCAAACGTTAATGTGCCATAAAACTGTAAAATAATCAATAAATTTCAATATAAATGAATACTTTAATCAATAAGCAAAATACTTACATCGATTACCATTTGATGCACCAATCCAACACATTGTTGAGCATTTGGATTTGTAACCATATCGCGCATTGCATCTGTATGATTCAATGTTAACAATACAACTTCTACAGGACCTGTAGCTGCAATTAACTGATATTTGACCATCATAATCATTAAATCAAACAGTTTATTCATACTACTTTTATCAAGTTTCATTATCGATGATAATACAACACATTCTAAAGTAGACCGTAAAAGAGATATTTTAGTGAGAGGTTTCTCTTCAAATACAGAAGAGAGTATCTTAGGATTAAGTAAAGCAGCAGTTACATCATCTAACACTGTAAATGAAAAGAAATATTTTAAAATTATAGATATACAAAAAAGATATACAAAAAAAGAAATACACAAATATCCAATATAAATTAATAGTACAATGAATATCTTTTTGTATAATGTTAAACTAGCCTTGTACAGTTTTATCAGCACTTATTCTTTGTGCCTTTAATCTCTGTTGCAAAACATATAACATTTCACCGCCCATGTTTAAATAAAGTATTGGTGTTGCATATAATGACATTTTGTTCCCTTATTTTCACTTGACTTTCAATTACAAAGTACCTTTATGATTTCAGTACACGTATGAGTTAGTTTACGAATAGCGTTGTCTTAGCGACAGAAGCATACATAAAATTATTCGACATAATGTATTTAAATGAGACTGCGCGCTATTTTATATTTCGTAGTTATGAACAATCATTCTTTTAAAACAAGTAAAATGGCATTTTGCTGCAAATTGTATATATTTCAATTCTTTTAGCAACTAAATGAAGAAATGATTGTAAAAAATCAATACATATGTAGTTACCTTCGTTTTTATTTTATAAAATATATTAATATATTATTACAATTAAATTATAACTACGTAAATTAATTAAAAAAATTTATATTATAATAAATAACTAGTTTTTAAGAAATGTAATATTTATCGAATAATGAATGATCAAGTATGTAACAATATTAAATTTAGAACATTTTGATAGTAGTATTTTTTAATTACATATATTTAAAATGAAAGACATGTATTACAACTTTTGATTTTATTATATATAATTCATCTCAAAACATATTTTAAGTTAAAAAAGAAAAAACATTTAACATCTGCATTTTATGTTGAACAGATATTAGGCAATTAATTATGATAACCATTTTTGTAACATTACTAATAAGTAACAATAATATTAATTATTTATAAAATAACGTAATTGGACGGTTATATAACAGAAGATGTTGTGTTCCGTATATTTTATAAAATATCTTAAATCTAAGTTCAAAATTGGTTTAGTTACGTGGAACGGTTTATATTGTAGAAAGAACTCAGTAGTTCTCTTATTTTAGTTTTTACATCATTTAGCCATTTGTAACATGAAGATTTCATTCCAAAAAATATGCCATACACATTTATCAGTCTAATAATAATCTACAGTATGTGCTGTTGCACAAACTTATACTTCATGTATTTTGTTTTCTCATTATCACTTTAAGTACAATTTTGCTTACAATTTAATAAATATTAATAAAATATTTATTGCATTTATAATTTGCTAATGCACACAAATTCATTAATGGAAACAAAAGAAATTATATCAGTACATGAAGTTTTTACATGAATTTGAACGTTTTTAAATAAATATGAATATTTATAAAAACATTTGTTTAAAAAAACAAATATAGTCTTCTATGGTATTCAATAGCACTTAAAAAATTGCTATAGTTAATGTTTAAAAATTTGTAAGTACAATCGTATATGCAATTATGTTACATTTCATTTTATAAATTATTACATATTTGAAAGATTCGACTTTTGCACATATTAAATGTAAATAAAATTAAAATTATCTAAGATTTTAAATTTATCTTTGATTATATGCTTTATATACAAATTATGATTGAAGTAAATTATATCACATTGCAATCTATAGAAATTCTTTCAAAATATGTAGCAATTCTATAATATTTCAAACAAACTCCTATAAAAAACTATGTAAAATACAATTCATATAACATTTATATTTATGAGTCATAAACAATATTATGCCAAATTAATGTAACAATAAAAACATTGTATTCGGCAACTTATCAACACTATAAAATATTAAATTTATTTTAAACAATGTAAAATTCATTCATTTTTAATTTTTGCATTATTTACTTAAAGTACATAAACATGTTATCTTAAGTACATTCATACAGTGGGTATTTGTACACTGAACAATTTTAAATAAAACTTCATATAATTGAAATTTATTAACTAATAATATAAAATTTGTGATGTTAGTAACTTTTCCAAATACATCAGTACAGTTAAACATTGTTAGAAAATGATTATACGATGTTTATATTATAAATTCTTCTATAACAATATCTTTCGCGTTGCATTTTTTGTATGGTATCTGATCTATAGATCTCTAAAAATAGGTACCTCATTATTTTACAAGAATTAGTTAATAAATCTCAATTGTTTAAAGTTTTATTTAAAATCGATACAAATATTTTCTATATCCACTGTATATTGTATATTATATTGGAATTAATTAAAATTTTTTCTTTACTCCTTGGAGAAATATCACAATTGTTTCTAATTTTATATTTTCATATTTATATATGTCTTTTTCATAAACTGGACAAAATTATGCCATTTCGTTTTAGTCACGCGATGATTATTTTAATAGTGTTTAGGAATTTCTCGAAATACATTTCTAAATGAAATTTTATTATTTCGAGAAAATATTACTATTATTCACAATTTAACTTACAAATTATATGTCCAAGTACCTTTTGCTGACTGAATATAGCGAAGTGGAACAATTGTGTTTCTAACATCGGGACTTTTTGACCTTCTTACACAATCCTGACTCAAAACCCTGCATCCTGGACTTAGAGTTAAACCATTAAAACTACTGCGGGGAATGCTGTCACTACTTGCCACTCTTCTAACATCATTTGCTTTTTTTTCTTCGCAGTTACCAACTACCGACATTAGATTATCTGGTACAGAGTCCCTAAGCTTATATGCATTCTGATTATTTCCAAAATATTTTGAATTCGGATGAACAGATGCATTTTTAGGGCTTCGCATCGAACAAATTTCTGTGTGACCATTGCGACGAATTTGACGTTTATCGGCGTTGTCATCGATCGAATGTCGATCATATATATGTTGATCAAGATTACAGTTTGCATCGTTATCAATACACTGACAAGGTACCATACTATCAAGAGAATCCGAAAATTCAGGACTTGAAATTGAAGAAACACTACCCATATGAGAGAAAACCGTCCCCTGAGTATTTTGAGGACGGCGTCAGAAACATCATTCTTCTAATTCATCCATTCGATTTCTAACGGCCATTTCCACAACTTCCAGGCTCGGATAGTCAAGTTCTTTAACTAGACATAATACAGCTGATAAAATGTTGGAGTTCTAAAATTACAAAGTTTTATGTTATTTTTGTCCCATGTTTGATTTGTATAAAATTAAATAAAATATGAAACATACTCTTGTAACAGGTCTTCTGTGATAATGGAATTGTGATCTACACTTTTCTTTCTCTGAATGTCTGACCCATCCAGGTACTTGGTTCGAATCTTCCTGTAATATTGAAAAATTCCGTTTTATTCATTATTTTCGCTATTTTATATACCTCAAAATAACATTGACAATAATATAATTCTAACTCTCTCTATATTATGATGAACCGGCATTCGTCTATGTTGAGATGATGGTTGATGTTGCTCTTCATAATCTGATTTTATTCTAGGATCATGATGTTCTTTGTATTCAGATTTCAGTCTATTGTCATAATCATAATTATTTCTTTCTGTTCGTCTTTCATCTATAATTTCATTTGTGGAGTATTGTGTTCTTGGAGATGTTTGTGCGTATGTTCGTTGCGACGTATCATTATTACTATATTCCGCATAAGATCTTCTGTCATCGTAATCTCCATTATGTCTGGAAATTGCTGGTCGATCATCATATTCCTAAAAATAATTACAATACAAAAAGGTAATTATAGTGTAAAAAGTCGAATCTTATTTATATTTAATTTTCCAAAGATATAAAAAATATTGTAAAGTTAATTTACAAATAACACAATTGAAAATTGGATGGTTTATGTTTCAATATATAATCACTCATTATAATTATTTATCTACTATTTTTGTAAGTTACATTTATTGTACAAAAATGTTTAAATCTTATCATAAAATATAAAATTTTTATTTAAAATTTTTTTAAATCACAAATCTTTTTTTTCTGAGATCATTTTCAACGTTAAAACAATTACAATTACATTAAAAAAGATAAAATTGCAATATATTGTATCACTTCTATTTTTTACTGAAAAATTAATTTATTAATATCATTCATTAAATTGCAAGTAATATATTTTTAATTAATGAACAGTAGAACTATCAAGGTAGCACTAGAAGTAAATTACTATTTTGCACACGCATTGTGCAATCTATAAAATGTACCTTGATCATTTCAATAGTGTTAGTGGCCACGTTTTCACTGACGTTGCGCGACTCTGTACGTATAGTGTCATCTTTGCTTTGATTCTTTGACTGTCCATTCTGTTGCTGTCAGTATACGATTGCAGACAAAAAGAGCAATAATAAAATCATGCTTATTTATTAAATATTAACTTAGACATTTCGCTCAGCAATGTTACTAAGATAGAAAGCTAATTATTTAATTAAGTATTTCTAAGTTTAGTATTACAATGAAAGCAATCCATCGAAACCTTTGATACATAGAATAATGAACTTCTTTCAGATTTTCATTACATATATTAATGTAAATCTTTCTACATGCAAAATAACATGCACTCGACTTACCTCATATGTATATTGATTATTTTGTGAATAATGATGAGATGGTGATGCATTATAATTTGCATTTCGATGATCTGGATCATGATACTCTTCTTGAGTATGCTGTGTTTCTTCAAAACTTCTCTGTAAACAAATATTTATTAAAAAAATATCTGTATATATTAAATAAACAAATATATATCATTACATAATGATAATATAATGTAAATATGTAATTTTTATAACAAAATTAACATAAAAATTATATAAAATTATTAAAAATGAAATTATTATAAAAACAATTAAAACAGTTTGAATTTTATATTACCTGATCACTTGAGGAACTATATCTTCGATGTTCAATGACTTCAGTTTCTTCAATATACTCAGTAGTAATATCCTAATTATGTAAATGTTATTTAAATGTTAAGACTTTGTTAAAAATGTGTTAACATATCATAACATTCTATTTGAAATTATTATAAGAGCATTAAACAAAAAGATAGATTAAAATTTAATATTAAATTCAGTTAATAACACATATACAACATATTTCATTAATAAAACCAAGTAAAGACTTTAACAAAGATGTTATATGATGAAGTAATGAAAAATGATTTATACAAATATAGTGCGAGGTGAGTATGATTGTATAAATAGTTTTACCTCTGGACTTACTGCATCTGATTGTGGCGGGGAAGCATACATGTCAAGTGGATGAATTAAAACACGACCTCTTGTCAATGCAGTTTGCACTTCCTCAGGTGATACTATTTCATCATCAAGCTTTTGTAGATTTGGTAAAGCTCTTAAAACTGCTAATCGATAACTAGAAATACATCTATCATTTAACTAATCTGTTCAAACAATTAGTAAGTTTTTTAATGCCATGCACAATACCCTTCTTTTTCAGCACAAGGATTTTCACCAAGCCATAAATTTCTTAAATTTGGCAAAGCTTGAAGATAACAAACTTCATTTAAATCTTCAATATTATTATTTCTAACAAATAATTCTTGAAGACTTAAGCAGTATTGAAAATCAGCAAGGGTGTTGATATGGTTAACACTAGAAATAAGTGAAAATATTTTGAAATATAACACAATACAACATAAATATGTTAATTTTTGTGTATAGAAATGTTTATATTAATTGTATTTTGACCATATCATAATCAATTAACTTTAATGAAAATTATAAAAATGCATTTAATAATAAAATTAAGAAATATAAAAGTAGTTATAATATAAAATTCTAATAAAAAAGTTAATAAAATGTAATTATCTTATATGCAAAGACATAAATATGTATAAAGTACTTGAAACTTTTACATATTAGATATATAAATTAGCATTAGATGCTATTATTTCAACATGTTTTGAATTCATTTAAATGAAAGCTTAAATAATTTAAATTATTTCAATTACAGTTGCAGAAGTTAAAGTTTTGTAATTAAATAAATAGAAATTTTATTAATTTATTTCAAATCTAAATGTAAAAATTAATCTTTTATGAGAAACAAGATATATTAGCATTTTTCTTTGAGAATATTGAAATATATTATAATGAATTCAAAATGTGTGGGTAGAACAACTTCTGAAGCTGTAGGTTGTGTATGATCTTGACGTTTAAATAAACCTGTCCACAGTAGGAATGCACTAAGAGATTCTGTAATGTTAAAGATTATAAACAACTGAGATCACTACTATTATAAATTGTTCTTATATAAGAATTTTCAAGTAACATTTTTATACAATAGATATATAAATATAAATTTAAATCTTACCTTAATGACAATACTTCTACATTTTTCATTTTCCTTAAAATGCTTACATCAGTCAATTCTGTACCCCTACATTAACAATAAATAATAATTTAAATATCCAGGAATATCACACATTTATAAATATTTTTCGAAACTTTTACAAAAGAATTTAAAAAATTATTTTATAAAAAAGCAAATCAAAATAATTTATTAATTGTTATAGATTAAATACAAGTATATATGATAAAATTTTATTAATTTGTATTTATTTCAACTAACTAAGGTTATTAGATATGTATATGAATAAAAAAACTTTCTTTTATTCTATTAGCAACATCTAAAATATTTTACAATTCCTTTACAACAATGGAATGATACACTGTCCAATTCATTATTGGAACAATCTAGTTTCCTTAATGAAAATGTAATAAAAAAAAAACTACAAACTCTATTACTATAAATTTTTTAAAAATAAGAATCACAATGAATATGTCATTTTAATATAATTACACAAAAAAATGATTAAATAATAATAGAATAAATGATAACTCATTTAAAAAAAGTAATATTCTTACAAATACTTACCAACAGTTAAGTTTCTTTACTGCAGAAAAATCGGACATTCGTGTCCGAGCCACGACCATTTCCTCTGTTAACTTTACCATAATGATGTTTGATTCATATAAAAATACTTGAAATAAAGTATATGAAAAAAAGGATTTTACAGATGTTAATGATAATTTAAGAGAAAAAAAAATGTGATTCAGATCATCACGACAAATTTCTTAATTGTAAATCAAAGACACAACCGAAACCCATCGCCATGATGGTATGTCGTCGACTAGTTGTGGCGAGAAGTATAGTACAATTGGTACGAAGCTTTCACAAAATACTGAAACGTTCTCGTTTTCCATTCTCCACGAAACACGCATGTGTAAGTATTATACGATAAACAGATGTGCAACTCATATTCATTTCTTTAATTAAATTTAACCTTTTTTTTTACAATTAGATTATGCGAAAGTATTTTAACATATAAAAATAGTAAAATAAATATTATCATACAAAAGTTGAAATTTCTTGTTATGAAATATACTCTGTAAATTAATAGATTATAGAGCAAAATAGTATAATAATAGCTTCTCATAATGTAATAATAGTTTCGCATGATCGTTGGTTGCATTCCACTCTATATATTATTCTTTTTTATCCTTAACTCTGTAAAATAATTTACTAGGGAAATTGTTTCCACTTCACCGATACACTTGTGTACCCTCTACTTTTTGTTATAGGTATTCGGAGAATTAAAATTTTCTGAAATCAAAAAAACACAGTTGTTCATGTATACAGAATGTTAATACGTACATGATAATACGTGTTTTAGAATTGTGAGTTAAAAGTGATCATTTAATTTTTATAATAGTATTTATGACACCTGACGTTAGAAAAATGCATAAGGTTGGAAAATTGAATCCTTCAATTGATATTATTCCATTACAAGGATCTAGTGGAAATTATAAATCAAAAATTATGAATAACAAACACAAAACTGATTCTTCTCACAAATTGCGGGATGATACATTAGTTACACGTGTACAAACGGTAATTTAGTTACTTTACAATATTTATCATCTTTCAGTTAACCGAGTATCTAAAATCAGCATTTTTTATATTATGCAATTTGCAGGATAAATTTATGTATTAAATCTGAAAATATAATACGCAATAACTTTATGTGAACTATTCAAAAACCTGCATTTCATGTCTTCTTTTTTATGTCTTTTTTCACAATTTGCACATCCTTATCTCCTCTCAATATTATATATAATTTTATGAATTATTACTAATATTAATATAAACATTAATTCTGAGTAATTATTATGTGATTTTAATACTTTTGAATAATTGATTTTTTAATTATTTTAGTACATGCATGAGAATGAAAATAAAGTCTATATTGATGTTAATGAAATGGCAGATGCTTTACAAAAAAAGTACAGAGACTACCGTATTAAAAAACGAGGTCCTTTCAGAGCATTAGTACGTAAAGCATACGACGAACTAACAGAAATGTTTGCAGAGAAATATTCTCGTGAATGGCCTTCTTATGATGAAGATGAAGAGGAAGAAGTTGATGTTGAGGTATTTATTTACAGTATTAAATACAATGTAACAAATTTAAAAAAAAATATATTGGTTTTAGTCAGATTCGCAAAATACTATGTTAGACGGAATGCTTTTAAAAATGTATAAAAACTCACAAAACAAACAGAATGGAAATTCCAGTGATAAAGAACTTATAGACATTAGCAGTGATGACGATGTGAGCAAAGTAGAATCAAATTCTAATAAAACAAATGAACCTGAGGTTGTAGAAAAAGATCAACAAAAACCAGGTCCATCTTCAGGTACAGAAAAACCTGCACATGTTAAGGAAGTTGTTGAACAACTAAAAACAGTAAGTTTAACTTTATTCCAACTAGATTTCTTGAATTTATTATTTCAAGTAATGCAATTATGTCAAAATGTTGACAACACCAAAAACATTTTATACATATACTTGATTTGATTTTTGTAGCCTAGTAAAGAAATACAACGAACTACAACAGTGACAACAGCACCTACTACAACAATTCCAAATACAATGATAGAATCCACAAAAAAACGACAACGTGATAAAGATGATAGTAGCCAGTTTATGTTCATAAAAAGAGTTAAAGGCATACCAATTTCTGAATCAAAAGTGACATTTGCAGACATAGGAGGAAATGATAAAGTTTTAAAAACTGTATGTAAGTTACTTGCACATATGAAACATCCAGAAATCTTTAAGCAACTTGGTATATCTCCACCAAGAGGATTTTTACTTCATGGTCCACCTGGATGTGGAAAAACTTTATTGGCATATGCTATTGCAGGAGTAAGATACTGTTTTAGTATGAATAGTTAATTTACTTTTTATTCGATTATTTATTTTATACTTTTAAAAACTAGGAGTTAGGTATACCATTATTGAAAGTAGCAGCACCTGAATTAATAGCAGGTGTATCAGGCGAAAGTGAAGCAAGAATTCGAGAATTGTTCGAACAGGCACTTGCAATAGCACCTTGTGCAGTCTTTTTAGATGAAATAGATACTGTAGCACAACACAGAGCCACAGCTCAAAGAGAAATGGAAAGAAGAATTGTTGCTCAACTGTTATCATGTTTGGATGGTAAGTTATTATTATAATTGAATTACACTAAATTACATTAATGTTAAAATAATTTTTCAAGAAGAAAATGTATTATTGTACAGAACTAAGTTTAAAAGAAAATGGTACCAGAGTATTAGTACTTGGAGCAACGAATCGGCCTGATTCATTGGATCCTGCATTAAGGAGAGCTGGTCGATTTGATCATGAAGTATGCCTGGGGATACCAGATAGAGATGCAAGAGCAAAAATTTTAGCTGTGCATACAGAAAAAGTAGCACTTGCGCCAAATGTTAGTTTATCAACAATAGCTTCACTTACACCAGGGTTTGTCGGAGCCGATTTAGTTGCATTAATTAGAGAAGCAGCTATGGCAGCTGTGGATAGGTAGCTGTTTCAGTATTTAATAAGTGCTTTAAAAACTAATTTACAATATGATCAGTCAGTATATTTTTTATATTCCTGTGTTTTTATTAGAATACTTGAAGATTTGAAGTCGGTTCCAGATAATAAATCTTCAGAAATTCCAGAAGAGAGAAAAGTTGAAAGTTTTAAAAATTCTAATAATTTAATCGAAGAAGTAACAATTGAACCATCTACCTCAAATCAAAATAATGTTCCTAAGTTAAATAACACAAATAATACAGAAAGTCTTCAAGCAACTTTAGAGATGGATATAATACAAGAAAATTCCAAATCTCCGGATTTAACAGGGTTACTTACTTGGTTACGTAATGATCCGCCACTTTCTTCAGAGCGATTATCAAATTTGTCCATTGAACACAGTGACTTTGAAACCGCCCTTCGTATTATTCAGCCATCAGCCAAAAGGGAAGGTTTTGCAACAGTACCTGATGTTACATGGGATAATGTCGGCTCATTACAAGATATTAGAGAAGAACTACAAATGGCTATACTTGTAAATATATTTATATTGATTTAATTGGATTATAATTGAAATAATTAGATATATTTAAAACATGTAAAATATTTTTTGTTTGATATTCTAGGCTCCAATTCGACATTCCGAACATTTTACAGCTTTAGGATTAACAGCACCTACTGGAGTACTATTATGTGGTCCACCTGGTTGTGGGAAAACATTATTAGCTAAAGCTATTGCAAATGAGGCTGGTATTAATTTTATCTCCGTTAAAGGACCGGAGCTTTTAAATATGGTAATAATTTTGATGATTGCAATATTGTTATAAAGTTCAATTACTAAATACTTTATTTTTATTATTCCAGTATGTCGGTGAAAGTGAAAAAGCAGTTCGGCAGTGTTTTATTAGAGCTAGAAATTCTGTTCCATGCGTTATATTTTTTGATGAGTTGGACGCATTGTGTCCCAGGCGATCAGAAGGTGATAATCCGGCTACTTCGCGTGTTGTAAATCAAATGCTGACTGAAATGGATGGAGTGGAAGAACGACAAGGAGTATTTTTGATGGCTGCCAGTAATCGTCCTGATATTATAGATCCAGCAGTATTGAGACCAGGAAGATTAGATAAGATTTTATATGTTGATTTGCCTACCTCAGCAGATCGCGTTGATATCTTAAGAGCATTAACAAAGGTTTTATCGAATAATTGTAAAAACGTTCCTAAAAAATGTGCTTCCTTTAAAACTAAATTTGTGCTTACAGAATTCAACTAAACCAAAATTAGCTGCAGATGTAGATCTTAAAGAAATAGGATATAACAATAAATGCGATGGTTATACTGGAGCCGATTTAGCTGCTTTAATTAGAGAAGCTGGAATAGAAGCATTAAAAGAATTAATGGATATGCATTATTCAGGACAACCAGAAATCTCTATGCGACATATCATACTTGCATTTGATAAAATAAGGCCGTCCGTACAAGAAAAGGTAAATACGTTTGTTTCATTAATAAAAATAATAAAATATTTTATTAATAAAAATATATATAACTCGTAGGATATTAAACATTATGAAAAATTAAAAAGATTATATTCGATTAAAAAGAAATCCGACGATACACCTATGGAAACTCCAATAGATACACCTATGGTAGATGTAGTTATGGAACCTATGGAAACGTGAAGTAAAAATAAATCCTAAATAAGTATGTAAAAAATCTTCCATTGCAAAGTACTTTTAAGCAGATGACAGTGAACCTCACGCAAAAAATATATAATGTAACGCCTTAAGATTATTTTTATAGTTGACATTTTAGTGTTTATCTCTAACGATCAAAAGTGCAACTGTAACATACTAAATCTCAATTTTGTTTTCAAATAAAAGTTGATCATATTCTTGATTTTTTAAGTGTAGGAGAGTACAAAATTTATTTTGTATTGTATTTTAACTTTGTCATTAATATAATATTTCTATAAAATAAATCATATTTATGTTCAATTATGTTTTTGAGTAATGGTAATAATTTTTTTAGTTTAATAACAAAAGAAAAATTAAGTCGATTATTTGCTATGTACATAAAATCTAATAAAAATTTTATGATCCGATTTTGTCAATAAAAAACATTTTATAACAATTTATTTAATTTATTTGTCTACAAGAAACAACTGTCATTTTATTTTTTAACTTATATACTTTTATATATATGTATTACATAAAAGATACATCGTAAGTCATAAAAGATATTCGTGTAAAAATACTTAACACATTGTCGGCCGCTGTCATGTACGCGACTTCTCGCCAGCAGTTGTCGGCCGGCGTCTTGAAAACGTGATTTTGTACCACAATTTTCATAAGACGTACAAAAATGATTTTAGGCCACAAATTATTTAATTTATTAAAAATATAAGACTATGCAATAGAAAAAAAAGTAATAATCGGTTTAATCCTTTTTTTTATCAATAAATATACTGTAATTACTTATTATGCTACGAATGACTTCGTAAATGTCGCGGTGGTAGGCAATAAAAATCTGCGTGACATGCACCGGCAGCAACTTGAAGGCGACGTGAAAAATGTGCGGCCGTCAAGGTGTTAAATGTGTAATCTTATACATTAAGTTTTTTAATTTTATAGCTATTAATTCTGTCTCGTTATTATATATAAAATATTATCACCACTTGTTTTTTAGTTTGATATAAATATAATAGCTTAAATGGCAAAAATTAAGCTTAAATACTTGATTACATTAAAATTGTATTTTAATTAAATTAGTAATAAAACATAATTGTTAGAAATATATAGAGCACTATTTTAAATTATATAATGTTTTATTTTATGTATGAAATAATTGAATATTAATATTAGGAATAATATAAAAAAATACCTCAAATAGATTTTTTATTATGAAAACATAACTGTTTTATGAGATAAAATGAACGTTATCAATTTAGCTACTTCATTATGGTACATATGGTTCTGTCGTTCGATTTTGTACAATCCAAGGATGTCTTAAAACATCTTCTAAAGGTAATCTTTGAGCTGGATCAAGTACTAATAACTAGAATAAAAAAATGGAAAATTATCATTTATTACTACTTTTGTTTAATAATCAAATTTTTTAATTATTTAATTTAATATTAATCATGTATTGTTATAAACATAAAATTGTAACTCACCTTAGATATTAAATTTTTAGCACCTTCACTGACAAATTGTGGAATTTCGTATTGGGCTTTTCTGATTTTTACATATGTTTCATCGTAAGATTCAGATAAAAAAGGAGGTTTACCAACTAAACATTCATAACAAAGTACACCAAGTCCCCATAAGTCTACAGTATGATCATGTGTTTTCCCAGCAACCATTTCTGGTGGTAGATAATCTAAAGTACCACAAAGAGTAGTTCTTCTAGAAGAGGGGGCATGGACAGACCATCCAAAGTCTGCCATTTTTAATTCACCTTTTATACCAAGTAATAAATTTTCAGGTTTGATATCTCGATGTATCACCTTTTTACTGTGACAGTATTTTAAAGCATCTGCTAATTGAGATATATATGTTGCTGTCCTAATTTCATCAAAACGCTTTTTTGGTTGAGCATTCAATTCTTTAAATAATTCTCCATTTGGAGCATATTCCAAAATTAAATATATCCTTTTATCATCATGAAAATACCCATACATTTTTAAAATATTTGGATGCCTAGGTAAACATAAAAATGATATATTTATTTTATTTATATATTTATCAGTTCATCTGATAAATATATCATTTATCATTTATATTGTAATAAAAATTAATGATAGTCAAATGCAAATTTAAAATTTTTGTAATAACAGTCGATATTTTTTTTATTGTAAATAAGTGGAATTTTTACCTTAAATGTGTTTGAATTTCTATTTCCCTTCTAACTTGATGTTCTACATCGGCTTTCTGTATTTGTGCTTTAAATAGTACTTTCATAGCAATAATGAATTTTGATTTCTTTTCTCTAGCTAAATAAACATTTCCATACTTTCCTTTTCCCAATGGCCGTCCAATATCAAAATCAGTTAAAACCCATTTCTTTTCACTTTGACCTTTTTTGTTTGTATTACTTTGTTCTGCGTTATTTTCAATATCTATGTTCTTTTTAGATGTTCTTTTAAGATTTGTTTCATTTTCTTCCTTATCATTAGTTGTATTTGGTACATATGTTATTGTATTATGAGATACAGATGATTTAGGTGGCGGCATCAATTCTGTTGACTTTTTAGAAAGGTTTTCTTTATTTTGCTTGATATTTGCCAAACAAATACTATGTTGATTGTTTGTATTATCTGAATTTTTTACACTTTTTGATGTATTTTCAATTAATGCTGTGTTCACTTTTGATATTGTTAATTGTTTAAGATTATTTTGAACTTGAGAAATTGTCTTAGATGTTTGAGAATCAGTTCTTCTATCCTCCAACATTGCTTGAATATCGTCTATAATTATAAATGACACGAGTAGTAAGCGAAAACTATTTATAAAATATTAATTTACTACACACTAAAAAGATTAAAAACTATAAAATGACATAAAAATTCTTTATATATTAATAAAAGAATTGAAACTTCGTATAAATACATACATATTTTGCATTAAAATTACATAGTCAATACTTAAGGAAAAGAAGTACAGTGTACTTTTAAAAATTACCTAAAAATCACAATGAATTTTGAAAATATTTTATATACTATTCTAGAAAATTAATAATAATAATTAAAAAACTTACGTTTAAAACAGTAAATACAAATTCTTCCACAAACAACGTACTTTCAATACTGTTTCAAAATAACGAATTCTTATACTTTATTCTGATTGGTCAGAATGTAAAATCATATGTATAAATTACAAGATGTTCAACTCTGTTATAAATCGTCACAGCTTTAATTGTGGCTCCCTAAAGTGTTAATTTTAAGAAATACTTGGCAATGTCGTTTCTCATAGCAAATCAAAAATAAATACGAATTAGTAAGTGATTAAAATAATTACCAATGATAATTATTAATCATAATATTTAATCAGTTTTATTAAAATTCCTTTTACTCATTGCCTTGGCTACGCTACATTTATCACGCCAAGATTCGTGTAATATATACTTCTTAAAATTGATATTACGAAGAACCACAAGGTTGGAATTCAAATTTGTATAGATATATACTGATAACTAAATATAATAAGATATTTTTGATCTATCTTTTTTGCTCAGATTCTATTTAGACATTGTGAAATAGTCTTATAAATAAATAGCTATAATAAAATTTTATTTATTATTATTTTACATATCTTCAATATTGAATTAATGATCAATGTTCATATTTATTACTTTTAGCATTATTAATTTAAATTAAGATATAGAATACAACTTATCACTATGTGTATCAATGTAAATGTTATAATTGTTTTTAAAACAATTTGACTGCAATTATGACAAATGCGAAGTTTCTTTATGAAAATTAAAATTTGTTCTGCAAGGCATGGTTCAAAATACCATAGATTAATCTTATAATAAAAGGAGCTTATTTTTTATATTTTATATTACACTAGTGAACAAAATATGCATTATTCTATATGAATCTTAAAATATTCATTTATTTGGTAAGAGTAATATATTCATTATAGTTTAACAAACATTTGTAAACAGAGTTTCTTATGTCTATGTTATAGACCACATTTAGAAAAATATTTTATATAGAACGCAATTTATATTTTTGATACTAACTTAAAATTAAACCAAATTTCTGTAGGTGGAAACGATATAGTACTCAAATCTCCTTCAAGACAGTGCAGTGTTAATTTGAAACTGTCTCTTTCAAAAATATACGTCTTTTAACAATTACGTGTTTTATGCATTATTAGTATAACAATTGTAATTGAGCACGAAATAATAGGCGACTTAATATTTATAGTTTTTATGAAAAGTAAGCAATACTGTAAGTAGTATTACCTTACAAATAAAGTTTGCAGTCAAAAAATTAAATTGCCTCTAAACAAAACACAAAAAGCATCCTAGATACAGAAATAGGTATTGCTTCTTAAAGCTTTAATTAACAACCGTACTTTACCGTTCGCACCTAATATACACGATTCATTCTAAATATGGCCATAATTTCATATATGCTTAATAAAAGTAAAATTTTTGTTGCTTCAAGTACAAATTAAACTTCATTATTCAAAAGTTTCTTATCGAATAGAAATTCTCCTAGCGCTCCATGTGCTGTCATCATTTTGCCCAAAGTTGAAATTTTTCCTGCAAGATCACGCTGCCCTTTGTATTGCTCAGTTAAAAACTCTCCAGTCAGGTAGTCCACCAGCTGAAATTAAACAATGTGGATCAACGAAATAAACTACACGACTTTACCTGATAATGTAACTTACATGATAGTCGTTGAAATTGCTGTTATCTGGCTTCTCACAATTTCTGATAATATTCTGAATTTGTTTTGTAACATTAGTTTCTAATTCAAGAGCCTCTGTAAGAGCTCCAACGCCATTACTCCAAGTTTCACGCAATGGTAACTAAAAATAATATTTATATATTCTATGATATTGTGCAACATAAAATCAATTTATATTTATAATAATGTTTTCCTATTGAATAAATAGATAAGTAAAATAATTTTAGATACATACCAAACGACTACTTAAAAGTTTGCTAACATCATCTGTTAATTGACCGCGCATTAATAGATATTCAATAATTTTTATTGCATGTTCTCTTTCTTCATTGGCAGATTCAAAGAAGAATTTACTAAATCCAGGACGATTAACTGAATCACGAGCAAAATGAGCACCCTGAAATAAAGTAGAATATAAATAAAATAAATACAAATATAATATTTTTAATGAAATACAACATAAAATAATGAAAAAATGCAATTACCATTGCCAGATAAGTCATAGCAGCTTTAATCTCAGTTTCCACCTGAGATTTTAAAAGATCAACACATGAATTAGCCATCTCCAGCCATGTGTCTGATATACCTTGAGGCATAGGTACTGTACCTACAAATAATCAATTTAATAAAATTAGATAATTAATATCAATTAAGTATTCATTTGTAATAAAAATATAGTAATTTATAATTTATCAAACTCCTAAATAATACAGAAAGAAATATAAAAGGATAAAAGTAATAAAAAATATTATAAAAACATGTAATATTTTTTTTTAATATGTTGAAATATTATAGTAATATTTTGTAATTCCGTATTGTAGATATCTTAATTAATCATAAATAGATAATAAATCAATGATTACAATTTATCAAACTTATCTTTAGGATAAGATTATATTCTCATATCTTTTATAATTACAATAACACTAATTAGCCAGCTGCAGAGTGTTTCAGTCATTATTATTTTAGTGTTTAATTTTTAATATTGTTTTCAACTTCAATGTGCTAATATAACAAAACAATTATAAAAAAACGAAATTAATATCAAAAAATATCATTATTTGAATGAATGTGAAATGTTTTTATTTAAGATTGAAACAAACACCACTTCTAAGATAATGCAAAAGGAAGTCAATGATGTAAAGTAGCTATGATTAAATTATCTGACTTCTTGGAACAATAATACACTTGTACTGAATGTGGACTTTAGAACATGCAGTAATCAATACATTTATACTGTCACGTAAAGCTTATCAAATGTTATCGTTGTACAAATAAGATTGTCAATAACAGTTACTAATTAATAGCCTAGAATCATGAAAGACCATTAACTTGTTCTGAAACTTCAAAAATTATCCATCAAATATTTTACGAATATTTTTATTAATAATTTTATTTTATTAATGATGATATGTGATTATTAATAATGAATGATATTGCAATAAAATTTTGTCGTTGCTCTATATAAATATTTTATAAATAAGAATAATGATGAAATATCTGAAATGTTTATTTCAAAAACACAAATACACAGTAAAAGTACATAATAAAGTAATATAATAAATAATTCAATGAACGAGGAAATTTAAAAAGTTTATATTATAAAAATTGCATCATAATTTCAATCATTTTCACAACATCTAACATAAATTTCTGATAATGCTCGTAAATGCGAATAATAACACAATGAGAACTATGAAATAAATATGAATAATGACACATTGAGAATTGTGAAATCATATTCTGTGACAAATAAGTTCAGTTATCTAAAATGACTAAAAGCCAGACAAAGAGAGATAACATGCAAACTCATGCTCTTTCCCCACAGAAAAAATATATGAATTATTTTAAAATTTTACATTTATATTTTTGTAAATGTATATATTTCTTCACAGTTTTTTTTGTACATCCATGAACAATATTATATAAAAATTAATATATGTATGAAAAAACATAAACTACAGAGGTGTTTACAATAACACAGATTACTAATATCTGAAGTTCATTTAACTTTTATTGTTATTTAAAACGTATTACAATTTTACGTTAAAAAAAATAATGTACAATATGTCTTACATACATATAATACCCTTTGAGCAATTATTTCCGAAAAATATACGCGTTAAGTTGTTGCATACGACACAAACAAATTACTATTACGTTCTTTCGCGGTATTATTAGGTATTAATTTATACTAAAATTAATAAACACACCATATCTATATATTTGATATCATTTCAGGAAATACAATGCAGGATAATATCCGTTTGAAAAATGGAAAAGATAAGGAACTACAATGGAATCTATCGAGAAATCTCATGCTAACCTCAATTGTTTTATATGAGTGTCACAAAAAAAAAAGATTTGAAGCAAATACTGTAAGAAAAATAATAAACTTACATTTAAGTTTATCTCCTAATGATCCATCGATGTAAAGGAAAGCGACGAGAAAAACGTAAATCAGCTTCATCGTAGAATTTTTCTAGAGGCTGTAATTTAAAAAATCGCGACAGTACTTGTAATTTTGCCTGTTTCAGTAGCAACCTTTATACACACTGGTATAGAAGGCTGCCTTTAGTGAAGCTAAATAAGAGAACGTGCGTGAACTAAACACGATGTACGGCCATCGATTATTTAATAATTGACCAACAAATGCGTATCATTCGTACTTTAATCAACAGGGAGTAACTGGAATTTTCTATTCCCTTTCTATCACGCATGCGCTCTGCCTATCAGCTGACTATGACTACATGAAAAACTACCAACGAATGTGGTTCTTCGATGTTCATTGTTGGAAGAACGTCGAAGCGAGAGTATTCACGTTGCTTTCCTTTAAACGAATACATCATTTGAGTAGGTACGTAGATATGAATAATTTTAATTATATCATTATTTCTGTTATACAGAATGATTCAAATTATAACAATAACAATAAACCATATCCTTTTTTTGGTTAAAATTAGGAAAAAATAGTACAAAAAAAAATAAATAAATAGTTAAAGGTAGATTACTTATCTTGAACTTATCCTGTTCATGTTTTTTTGTATAAGTTCAATATACATATAGTCCATTTTGAACAATTTATCTCCTAATTTCAACTTTTTTCTAACTGGCTTATAAAGAAAAATGGTTTGTATGTGAATCACCCAGTATAATTAAAAAATTAAATTAATGCTGTTACGAGATCGAATATTTTTAAATATATATTATTTCATTATCATTTGATACGCAAGATATTGCGCATTTAAAAGTATAATGACGAAAATGCTTGTGTGGAGTATTTGATATCTATAAAGATTGGACTATAAATTTTTCTTTCTGCATAGATGCGTAACGTACATAGATTATATTGTGTGAATCAACATCGTTAAGTTGTATTGGTATTTTTATTCGGAACTGGGTTATCATATATTTTTATTGTCGTTTTTCGGTTACCAATTCAGTATGTTCTTATAAACATGACATTAATTACGCATATTATTTAAAATTTAGTAATGATATCATTGTTTGTGTACATGGAATGTATTTTGAAATTGTTAAAAGTATTTCTCAATAAATTGATAATATAAAAATAAATAATATTTAGATAATATTAGAAATATTTATTTTATTTATTACTTAAAATTACAGAGAACATGCTGTTCTTTGGAATATTATCCATTCTTCTAGCAGTTGTCTTTGCTAAAGATACCTGCTATACTGATGTAGGTGCAGCTTGTAACTCTCTACCAAAACCAGGTGATAAGAGTATTTAATATTTAAAAAATCATTCTGATTGAAATTTCTTTGTGTACTGATATTTAAATTTATATATTTAAATATACCAATATTTAAATTTTTAGATAGAGAATTGATGTCAAATTGTAATGCAAAGTATGGATATACTAAAAAACATTTAACTGATCTTCAATCATATGCAAATGCTAATATTGGAATCAGCTTTGAGTTTTTATTAATGTCTAGTTATTTTGGAAATTATGAAGATCAACGTGAAGGATTTAAAAAATTATATCGTAAATTTTCTGATGAAATGTGGGAAGATGCAATTAATACAATCAAATATATCACCAAACGAGGTGATATAATGAATTTCAATGAATCACCACGCTTTGTGAAACCTGTATGTACATTTTTGTACTTTATAATTTATAATTATATAATAAAAAAGACAAAAATATTAAAAGTTATTAATTTTATACATTTTTTTTTAGACAAATGTATTAGAGCTGAATGAACTTAACAGTTTAGCCAAAGCACTTGATAGACAAAAGCAGCTTGCAAATGAAGCTCTGCGTATACATTCTACATTTACACAAATTAATAAGGAAGATGATGCTGCTCTTGCTCATTACATCGAAGAAAAATTCTTAGAACCACAAGCTGATCGTGTTCGAGATTTAGCAGGCTATACAAATGATTTGAAGAACTTGTTAAGAACTGGCGATGATCCATCTGTAGCTATATTTTTGTTTGATGAATACCTTAAGAAAAGTTTGTAATTTGTTTACAACTGAAATTGAAAGAGTATAAATCAGAATTTTGTATCTACCATTATTTTAAAAATTCCCTATATGAAGAAGTTTTGTTCATAACAAAACATCATTTTTTCAGTTATGCAGAATTCTATATTTAGAATTAATGAATATATATATTATTTTTTAATACATTTCATCTAATAAAGTGTATACTTCATGAATTGTATTTTTAATTATTACATTATTTTACATAAATTAGTATTAAGGAATAGGCAAGAACTCCTTGAAAGTAAGTTATAATTAGAAGATGATGGTAAAAAAAAAAAAAAACGAATTTTATTAAATATATACAAATAAGAAAGAATTAACATTTTTTGGCCATTAATACAATTTTATTTAATTCCAAAATTAAAGTTTGATTTTATAGTAAGGAAATTCTATGCTTAATTTTTTTGTAAAAATATATCTAACAATAAACAAATAATGCCTTATGATATTTTCTTTTTTTTTATGAACTGATTGTGTATATAACATTTAATTATGTTTAACATATTTTTAATATGTATATAATGGAATAATTTATCATTTTAATAGATTAGAAGGCTAATTTGTTCAGTAGTATCATTGTTATGATACATTTAAATCATCTATTATAAAATGAAGGCACATTATCTAAATATTACTCTAATTGTAAGTATAACATATTTTCATTCTTATAAAAAATTATATTTTCCTTAATTAAATTTCAATTAAAATTAAAATAGATTTATTTGTTATAGTTTAAAAGCACAAAGTCGAAGAAAACAAATAACGTGTTTAACATATCAGATACTTCCATTTTTTTTTTAACAAGTAATTTATAGTAATATTTTTTTTAAATATAAAACTTTACATCGATAGGAACGATGATAAAAAAAATTTTATAAGATATAAAATATATAGTTACGTATGAAAATAAAAAATAGAAAAATGAAACATTTTCTTACGTAATATTTGTTAAAAAATGCGTAAATTTAATTAACAGTTTTTAATGCTTTTTTTTTGTTTTCTATTCTACTGAATACATAACTTTTATATTATCTAAAAATAAAAACATTTATATTTCACTTGATATAGCCGAAAGTTTATGATTTTATACGAAATGCAATACACAATATCTCGTCATTTAGTTTTTTTTATATATTGTTAAATTAAAACTATGTATTGTAAAATTAAAACTTCGAAACAATAAATAAATAGTATTAATATGAAAATACCTTCCTAATTAAATGAATTACAAGCGTATTGTGCATGTTACTTCAGTCTAAAATATGTCATAGTTTAAAATCTCATTATTCATACGTTATTTTTTTGTCTGAAAGAAAGAAGCAGTATAATATAACTTAAAGATATACTGATATGCTACTATTTTTTACATGAGAAATTTAAAGATAATCTAGACTAAATCACAATTTTTTTTTACATTAAGCACTGCTTTTACATGAATTATGAATTAAATAAAAATATATATTAAAAATGTCATCTCTAATATGTCACATTTTAGATATTATTACATTTTTTTAATATTCACTCTTCTTTAATATCTATTTTCTCAATACTATAGTAGCTATTTTGCTTTCGATATTATACATAACGTATAATATTCTTAAATTATTGACTTTAATTTGAAGAATTACATCTTTGTAAATAACCAGTCTTCTATGATAATATTTCAATTAATTACAGATTTTCATTAAAGCATTTCATGTAACAGTACTTATGTTAAATAATAACCTAAAATAATAAAATTTGTATTACACAATATTATAAAAGTAAGTATTACTTTATGAACAAGTTTTGGACTTTTACCTTTCTGATACATATCTTAAAGCCCGTAATTTACTATCGACTTTATAAATTATGCGAATGTACCTACAATAATTGTATATATTAATATATTTAAGAAGATAATAAAAATAAATAACAATAAAATTTTACTTACATCTTTCCGAAGATGTAATTCGAAGATGTACTAATAATGACGCAAGTTCAAGATCTTCACTGTAATTGTTTTTTAATGGAACGCTTCTATATCCTGGTTGCAAACATCGAACCTAAATATGGAAATAAATGTATTAAAAAATAATAAGATACTTAATTAATAATTTAAAAACAATAAAGATACTGCTTTATACATACGGGATAAGTGGCTTGTCCAATAAAATTACTATCACCAAACATATCTTCATCTTGTACAACAAATCGTATGAATGCGAAATATGGATTAAAAACTTCGAATTCGCAAGACTCATTCCACATGGGGTTGAATCCATTATCAGCTATAATATTAATTTTATTATTGCCCACAGATTAATATTTAAACATTTTCATACGTACGTATTGTTCTTGTTGTTAATTTTGTACCAGAATCAAAATCAGCTCCTATAATTTCAATTTCAATGAAAGGACTAGCTATGCCTCTGCCTGATCTGATTAAATGTCTTGCACCAATAATTTTTAAGGAAAACTTAAGACTTTCTATTCTATGTAAACAATTCTTGTCATACGGATTAAAATCATCTCTAAACATGAACTCGGGTTTTAAAATATAACCACAGTTGCCGTTTTCTCTAAATTTTGCTTGATTAAGCTGCATTGATTTATCACCAGTTTGATAATTCAGTGCTACCATTTGACAACCAACATTCCACATTGGCACAGGATTATAATTTGATGAATCAATACGTTGTCCTTTTGGATATACTCTGCTAAATTGAATCTGTAAAATTATAATTGTAAATATTTTTATCTTTTAATTTGAAAATCAGATCTATTATAATCTTATATTGTTGCACCTGATGATACTTTATAAAAAATTTGTTTTCTTGTTGACACATAAGTTTTTCAGCTTTTGTCTCAGGAAAGCTACTCATTTCATTAAATATAAAACCTTTTGTTTTTATTCTATCTAAATTAAATGCGACGGATCTACAATAAACTATTAAATTAGACATTTCCTTAGCTATTCTCCATGCACGTTCCATTTCTTTATGTTGATTCTCCTAAAAAAAGAAAAAAAAAGAAAGAAAGAAATTAGAATACATGTAATTGTTTAAATTCAATTATTATTAGATCATTTTTTAAAAATAAAAAACATGTATTTACTCTGACACTGGCATTTTGAGCAGTTTCTTTAATACTGGACATCCATTCTAGTGCTGTATCTTTCGATGAAGTTGCTACTTCAAATACTGAACACATACTAGGATTTTGTATTCTTAATATCCATTCTAATCCGGGTCGTCCGCCTACTCTTAATTCAACTACAGCACCCATGATGTCCAATGAGCCTTTTTGTAGACTACCAAACATCATAGAATCTGCTGACTGAAAGTAAAAATAAGACATATAACCATGTTTAATGATAATAATTGCTATTTGATACTGTGAAGTAAAATTACTTACATCTTGACTTTCTTGTGGTTTTATTTCTTCAACGTAACTAGCAGGGAACCAATGTTGTTTTTTACCGCCATAGTCTCCTCGCCACCAACCACCGCTTTGTCGATGTACATTTGTTATTATAGCATGTTTTACTAATGTTAATTCATCATCCCTTCTTGCTTTGTAATCATATATAGCCTTTACAGTCACCTTTAAAATAAATTAAGTATCTTTCACTTTTTTTATATGTTATTATTTTACAATTAACTTACTTTTGATGTAAAACTAGTAGGATCCATATAACCAGGAATACCATAAACAGATCCGTCATCTATATCCTAAATATAATGAAATAATTTAATAACGTTAAGAACAATAACTTAATAAATAAAAATATAAAATACACTATATACCAATTCCATTTTTCTAATAATATCTTGATTTACAGGATGATTTAATTTAATTTTTTTATATAATGGATGCCTTTCATAATAATTAACTAATTCAACCAAACTTTCAAATTGTACAGTACCAATAGTATATAATCGTCCTTCTAGTTTAATCCTACAATGCTTAATCTTTTTTTCTGCCCTGAAATAAAATAAAAATGAAAAAAAAAAATTATGTATTACTAAATAAATATTTTCAATTACTATATGTTATTAAATAAATACTTTCAAACATTTTACCTAAAAGATATAGCATAAGAATTGCTTTCTTTTTCACTCGGTCTCACCAAAAATGCACCATCGGTAGGAATTCGTTTTAACATTTCTTCAGCTAAAGTTCGAGTACATTCAGCATGCCACCATTCTTTTTCTTCATGTTTGTTTGGTTGTGGAACAGGTTCTTGAAGTGTGATTAAAAATTCCTATTTATTTCATTCAAAAAAATTGTCAATTAATAAAACTATAATATCAAAATTAATTACAACTCTTAATTTTATTTATTCTTACTTGACTTCTTAATGGATGATTGCGATAATGTGTAATTAAGCTATATAAACTATCAAAGCAATTCGTATCAATAAGATAATATTGTGTCTGACCCATTTCTTGCTTGAGCTTAATACGACAATGATTTACTTTCCCTTTGCGCCAAAAAGAAAGGCAATAATCACCAACAAATGTAACGCATTGTCTAACTAAAAATGTGCCATCACCAAGATGTGAATAATGTCGTAGTAATTCCTCTGCTTCTTCTCTACCTCTTGCTAATTTACCATGGAACCATTTTTCACCAAAATGTAATTCATCATTTGGTACTCCCTATATTATGATAATCAATCAGTGATACAATATAATAAAATTTTTTATTTAAAACGTATTGTGTATACATACATCGGTAGGTCGACGAACTACAGCTTCTTCATCATCGTCATGTTCAGTTTCTTGAGTTCTGGAAAATGTATCTGTGTAAAATAACTTTTGCTGTGTTAATACAAAAAAATGTGGATTCCACTCTCTGTCAACGGGATCTTCAAGATAAAGAATGCCATTTTTAACCGTATTTCTAAGATCCATTTCTTGTCTGCTTTCATCGTTTCGAATAAGAAATGATGTTTCTTCTACGCCGTCAGGTAATTTTTTATGTTTCAATATAATTTTTCTTTTCAGTGCATGTGGAGATGGTAAAAAAGTTTCATTTTTATCTACAGGTTGAACTAATAACATATCACCAAATACATCTTGCATTGTGATTGCCATTTTACGTTGTTGTGGTAAAGTACAATTGTCCTCAATGGATAAAATGACAGGATAACTGCATAAGAAATATATTTATATCTTAAACTTTAAAATGAGAAGTTAAACAAACAATTATTTATACTTACTCAGAGGTAGAAAAAGCATGTTCTTTGATAGTTTTAATAACATCCAAAAATTTAATCTTTGTAGTAAGTGTGTGCCCATGAAAAATAAAAGGCATTCCATCTGGTCCATCCCAACAGTCAAGTTCTATACATCTACATCCAGCTCTTAATGCACGAATATAAGCTTGACAACTGCTTTCACTGCTAATTTGATCTCCCATTAAGTATCTGCAAAAACATTTTATACAAATAGATTTATTTTTATAATATTTATTTCTTTATAAAAGAAAAATCATACTTACGTATTATGTGATGATGCTATCCAATAATGTGCAAGAGGTTTAGTCATATCTTGATAAATATGCGAGTATTTTGGATCCCAAATAGAATTTTGTTTTGAAAACAAGAAATCGATGAATTCCGAAAATGTAAAATGTGGTTCTTGCACATCTCTTTGAAGATCTTGTAAATAATCTCTAATAAAACATGATAGTTCAACCTCATTATTTCCTAAAGGATCTTGTTGTTCAGTTATTAAGAAGTTCTGAAATTCTTGGACTGTAACAATTTGTCCCGTTTTAGAATAATTAAGTAATTTATTCCAATCTGTAAGATTCTATAAAAATAAAAAAATAGTAGATAACACAAAATAGACGAATATTAGAAATATGAATAAATAAAAAACTTACATTTTGATCAAAGATAAGTTTATGATAAAGTGCAACAAAATCATCAAAACCAAGTTCATTTCTATTTCTTGTATCTATTTCTTGAAAAAGTTCTCTAAGTTTATTTGTTGCTATTTTACAATTAACTCTAGGTAAAAATGCTTTTATATCTTTTAAAGTAACTCTATAAAATGTGAAATATCAAATTAAATATCTTAAAAATATATATAAAATACAGTTAACTTATAAAATACAAATAACTTAAAATTATATATAAAATACAGTTTTTTACGTTTCTCTTGAATTTTCCATTGCATAAAATTCTTTCCTAAGCCATCTTTCAACTTGTAAAGGATAAGGAGCTTTTATAGTATCTTGAACCAAACGACGTAATCCTTTCACCCAAAGTTCACATTCTTTCTCACTAAGAGCTAAAATCAATATATAGAAACAGACATTTATAAAATCACAGTAGATAACATTGTTAAACAGAATAAAAGCTTAAAAATATATTTACCAGAAATTGAAAGAGTTTTAAGACGAAATTCAGAACCATAATACACAACAAAACACCTAAGATTTTCTATCCTTTTTGCATCTTCTGGCCATTTCTCAAAATCTTTAGAATGCTTTCCTACTTTAATTTCTTTGATTTCCCTTATTTCAACTAAAATCAAATGGCAAAATTTTATATAATATCTATATATGTATGTAATATATTTACAAAAATAAAACACAGTATAATATATATATATAAAATATTATACGTTAATGTAATATGGAAAAATATGCTTTTAAACATTAGGCAAGGAATAAGAGTAACTTTAGAAAATATTTATCATTTTTTCAATCATTATGTTACATATGCATGCTTTATTGTAATATAACAATCATAAAAGATTTAGATCCAATCAAATACCCATGTTATCCAATGGGGCTGATCAATATATCAACAGTATCCATGGGCATATTTGTTTGTAGACCAAAAATGAAGGAAATGTCCACCAAGGTATGCACATATTTATAAATTTAAATCAATATTATCAAAATGGATAATAATCAGGTCAGAAAAAAATATTGTTCAATATGATATATAAAACATGTACACAAAAGCATATGAGATGCAAATCATTAACTGATTTAGTTGTATCTTTGTCATATAAACTCACCCATATACATTATTCACAAGGACCTTTCCTTCAGGTTTTTGACCTATAAATAGTATCTTCAGATAATTTTGCCCATTTTTGCTGTAGATATATCTTCATAACCATGCAAAATGTGTGCCTAAAATGTTAGGTGAAAATTTATATCAATTGTATTGTAAAATGTGTATTTTTTTGAATGTATAAAATAATGATTAAATATATTAGTCCTCTTATACTTTTTCAATCAATATTGCAATATTACAATACATGTGTATTAATAAATTATTACTGTTCCCTTGGGACAAAAATATAATGTTACTATAATTATCTTTAAATATTTGAAAAGACCAAAGTGTTTTTACCTGAACCATCAAAAGGTCTAAACGTTGCACTCCTTGACCATACAATTTGTCTAGTTTCTCTTTTTATCATAAGAGTCTTTTTCTCTGGTCTTTTTCTTGAAAAAAATTTTGTTACTACAGTTCCTCTTTCAAGCTGACTGATGATTTGTTCCATTTCAGGTATTATACCATTCATGTTTAAAATGTTATAGGTTTTCTATAATAAATCATATGTATTTTATGTGAATAAATTTTATACATGATTTACAAAATCAAAAAAATTTGATGCAATAATGATTTAATTTGAAAATTTAAAATGAAAAAGTTAAGAAAAATTTTAAGTTCTATTAATTTGTAAATTTAAATTTAGATATAATTATTTTTAAAAAGTTTCTTATTACAATCTAAATTTTAAATAAACAACATAATCTTTGTTATATTTAAAGTTATAATATAAACATTATATTAATTTAACTATAAATGTACTTATATTAAATACATATGCATAAATTTTAACTTTGTGAAAAAACAAAACTATCTATATGTTATGAATATATATATATAGATTTGAACAAGTTTTTTAAACAACTCTATAATATCACTACATATGTAAATAAATAACATATATATAAAACATAAAACTTTTTTTTATATATTTTATTTTATACAGATAACTGTAACATTCTATTTGTAAATATGTACTCAAGAAAAGATAACAATTTTAGTTATTGTAGTTATTTTGATATATGTGTGAACATTTATAATTGTTGTTTCTTGCCATATGTGTATTTTGATTGAGAAAAAGAATCTTCTTAACATTTTATTTATATTTTCTTTAAACATACTAATTTTTAATTGTTTTTTAAATATAAGATTACACATATTAATTTTAAATAAATAATCTTTTTCATTACATTATTATATAAATTTGTAATTTATTAAATAATATAAACATAACTTACTATAAAATTCATTTAAATTTTATATTATACTCTAATAAATAAATTTAAAAACAAAAAATATTTGTTCATTAAATATACGAAAATGTTAGATATTATAAAATATAATATTTAAAAAAACGTGACTGTTCTTAATAGTATAACATAAAATACATAGTACTTATTTTGCATATATGTTTTATATTATGTTTTTTATAAACTTTTATTGTTTTTCTACCTTATGTTACACACTTAAAGATTTATCCTACCTGAGGTTAGAAATATTTCTTTAATTCATTGACTAAGAACAAAGTAGATATGACATTATATAGTATACTTTGTGCCTTTCGTTCTAGAATACCAACCTCAAAAAAAATTAATGTCTTCTACGATTTGTTGTGACACGTTGTAGCGAAAAAAGACTTTTATGATTGATTATAACCACGGACTGGATACACGGTATATAGACCTATCATCTTATAAAACTTGATGTATCACGATTTAAAACATCGATTCTATAAAGTGTAAAAAATTGAAAGTTTTATCATGTTTTTTTACAATTTAAAGCGGCGAGCGTAAAAATTATATTCAAACGAATGATCAGTAAATGTCATGGTGAAATTATTAACTAAGTCAATAATGAAGTCAATATTTATTTTATCGCATTTCCACATAAACATACTACGTTTTAGAATATAAAACATATCTGACGATTCGACAACAGTAATTTCACAAAATTGATCCTGTTAATTAGTTTTTCTAGCAAATTGAAAATTTGTTCAACTTATGTATATTAAAACCAGCGCCACTTAAGCAACGAAATAATAGAACTAACTTCCCTATGATGAAATTAAAAAATTACATTTTGTTTATAAACCAAAAGATTCAGTTTTGAATTATTCAGTTTTCATTTTTAAAAATTAATATCTGTATGATATTATTTTATGAATTTCTACATATTTGACTAATTGTTTATAATAGGTACTTCATTTCAATATGATGGCGCTACTATCAGTAAAATACAGGTGCTATTAAATTTAAATATTTATTTTAATATTTTCTACACTTTATGGGTTAAGTGGAGTATAGAAAGGAAGTTTAAAATTTAATTAAAAATATATAATTAGGAAAGTCCACAAGTTAATTCCTTTAATTGTTTTTTTTTGTGTATGAAAATTTGTTCGATTTATGATATATATACATATATGTACAAATTACATTTAAAAGAACCTTGGATTTTAAAGAATTCTTTTGAAACTTTGTAAAATTTATTATCAACTTTATGAACTAATATATCACCTAAATCTAAAAAATTCTTTTAAAGAAGAACCAAGAGATGTAAAGAATTCACTAATGGATTTGAGTGTTGATGACTCTTGTTCAAAATTTGCAGATTGGATAGAACATACTTTACTGTGTTTTGTAAAATATACATTCTCCTTATCTGCAATTTTCTGTAATGAAATTGTATACAAATTATCATTATATGTACGTAGTTTTGTATCTGCATTAATTTATAAAACTTACATAATTAATTTTTTGTTCATAAGATTTAATGTATTTAGAATCATCATTGCTTTTAAATCTTTTTAAAAGTATCAAACAATTATCAGATCGTATATCTGCATCTGCTTCATTGTCTTTTTTCAGATACATAATTTTTGATGCATCTAGATTAATCTATTAATTTAATATTCTTTTAGAATTTATTTGAATAAATTTCAATTTTAAAATTATTATACACACCTCAGTTTCTTTGTTTGATCTCTTCCTTTTACCAGCAATTATTGGTACATTTTCAGATGGAAATAAATTAAGGTCATTATGCCTTAATGGTTTTCTTGAACTACTATCCTTTCTTAATGTTTGTCTACATTCTACATACTGAAATAAAAAGATAATGTAGATAAGTTGTTAAATGCAATATTCAAATAACAAAAGCTATTATCTTTTAATAATACCTTCTTTATAGAACTTTGTATTGCTGTTATCCATAAATTGCTATCATCTTTTTCAGAATAAAGTAAAAGTGTTTCATTTAAACAAGTAACACGGAACAATCCACCACTCAAAACAGACTCAATTTTACACTTATTTAATGGTAATACACAACATATAGTTAATGAATTTTGTGGATCACCCTTACAATATAATAAAATGTCATTTAAAAGAACAAAATATCTTCTATATGCAGAGTTTCCTCGTCTAGAGACCCTCATTAATGCTCCTTCCTTAATTAATTTTCTACCAGGCTTTACCAAATTAATTGGATTTACAATACATTTTTGAAGTTTTAATAGTTTTTGTGATTCCTCATATTGTTCAATGAAGGTATTTATATGCCTTGCAGCTTTTTCTACTTCTACCAAACATACTGTTTGGTAGAAACAACCAATTCATTTAGTATATAAATAGTTTTTATGACACTATTTTACAATTATATTTATTTTATAATTACCTTGTAAAAGATTATATTCTTTATGTTTGTTAGATGTATGTTGCAAAACTTCTCGTAAAAGTAATTTGTATCTAGGTACCCTTTGTATTGGTGTAATTAACAGTGAAGATAATTTTCTACCAACTTCTGGTCTTGTTTCTTGTTTACTAACAAAATCTTTAAATTCACAATCATTTTCTTGTTTAGTCTATAACAAAAAGTTATCTACATAGTAATATTTTTTAGTTAATTGATTAATGTATTAACAAGTACCTGTAGCAGTGATAAAATTTGTTCATAATCATAGGCATAAACAGAATACAATTTAAAAAAAGGTGCAAGTTTGTGAAATGCACCTGCAATATTTTCTGAATCTTGTTTCAATTCTTTTATTAACTCTCCACTAACATTATATAATGTTTTTATGTTTTCAGACAGTGATGAAAGTAAACTATGATTTAACAATTTTTTTTCTATTATAGGTTGTATAAAATACTGAAAAAAATATACATGAATTTATATGTTTTCCTTTAATATTAATATTACAATAATATAAATATAATATCTGTAAATATGTAAATAATACCTCCATCAAGATTTCTAATTGCCGTAAATATGTAACTTCAGTTGTTAAAATTTCTTGAATGGCTTGGAATCTTAAATTTCTTTTCTTTTCCTCACATTGCTTTTGATTATTTTCATTTAGATTGTTGAGAACTGAAAGCACAATATTTTACATTTCATGTTTTACAATTATCTAATAAAATCATACATTATTAATGGTATACCTTTCATACGACTACGTATACTTAGGACATTTCTATCATTAATAATTTTTTTCAGTTCAGAACTGAGAGGTGTTTGTGGTGATCTAGGAGAATTCATAATTGCAAAGGATGCAACAATTGATGATATCAAATAATGTCTTTTATCACTGTTATACCTTGAATATATTATAATTTATTCGTATGAATTTATACATGTACGTTATTACATTAACTTCAGACGATTCTGCAATATATTACATTTGTCAAAATTTAAAACTTGATAGCTTTTTGTAATAATTTTTATCATTCAAATATTTTGTTTAAATTAAAAATTAACGTATCAACGTATTTTGTACTATTGGTGGAGCCGTTTCATTGACTGATCAACAAAGTTTCAGTAAAAATTAGTAGAGGATAAAAATTTTCGAATTAGGAAGTTTTTAGACGTGTACTGTAATGTTGGTCACATTGTAATACTTAGGGACTATTATATACAAGTGGAATATCAAAACATATGATGATGAAGTGACAATTTTGTAAGAATCAAATTTGTTAATACATACTTGCAAGCTGTATTCTCACAAATCTCTTATTATCTGTAGTGACACGCAAAAGAACAATAAAACGTCAGAAGCATAACGTTATACAACATTCACCTCTTAAAGAAGGTACGATATGATTGATTTGTATCTCAAAAAGTTACGAATTCATGTGCCAGCTGTGAAATGTCATGTCCGGTGAATAATAATTAATTTAAGAAGATATATATTTATAAAAAACACAAAATGCATAATTTTATTTAAATCTGCTTTTGATACGTAATTATTGTCATTTTTAAAATGATTTAATTATGTAACAAAATATGTTATTGATACGTCTACGTATATTCTGAATTAACATATTTGGCTAATATTACGATATAAATAGAAATAAATTTTGTACATAAATTGTGTTAGTATTTGTTTAGTATAGATACAATTGCCAAATAGGTTATGATGCATGCAGAACTTGTGTCATAGGTTATGTTTTACAACAGTTACAGCCGAAATTATTAATAATAAATTTAATATGTAAGATTTATGATGTACAAATGAAATGTCAGTTTTTGTATATTTTGTAGAATGCAAATAGATTAATTATGAAATAAAATACTAAAGAAAATTTTAAATGTGTATTATGATAAACTTCAATCGTATAGATAAAACAAATTTTTAATGATATGTTTATATTATTTATTTTAACTGTGTGTATGATTTAATGTTAGAATATTTCTAAATCAAAATTTGTACTGATAAAATTTATAATAAATAACAAATGTAATAAATATAAAAAAAATATACAAGCATATGTAACAATATCTTCGATCTAATCATCTTTGATCTGATTATTATGATTATTTGTTTCAGGATACTTAACAATTCATTCTAATTTGGAAATGTATATACACAACATGCATAAATACTTTTTAAGATATTTCATACATGGATATTGTATGAATAAAAACTACTAGCTATTACATCATCCACTAAATACAAATATTTAAAATGCCACAAGTGGATGGTGCTACAATACCAATAACAAATAATCAGAACAGTGCAGCTGTACATAATCGTAATACAAGTAGTTCAACTGAATCAGCCTTAAATAATAACAATATGAATACTACGAGGAATAACAATAATCAGAACCCATTAGTTAATGTAAGGGATAGATTGTTTCATGCACTATTTATTAGGGCTGCATTAACTTATGCAAGAACATTTCCAAGGCCTGTCAGAAGATTTATAGAATTTATAGTTTTACTGAAGGTAATTATGATTTAAAATTAATATATTTATTAAAATATTATATATAAATAGTAATTTTAAATTATGTATTTGCAGGCTATAGCAGCATTTTTTGTGTTGGCTTATATTCATATAGTTTTTTCACGAGCACCAACTAATTGTTTAGAACATATAAGAGATGATTGGCCCCGTGATGGTATTTTAAGAGTTGAAATACTTAGAAACGGGGGAGAAGATTACAATATAGAAAAGAGTTATGCAAAAGAAGAAAAATTACGACAAGAAAAAGTTGACGATTTAACTAGTGCGTTAGGAATATTAACTAGAGATGGGTAAGAAAAGATACAATGTGTGAAAAATAAACTATTATTATTATGTTATAATTGCAGTAATTTACTTTCTTATTTTATCTTGTAGATTTATAAACATTGAACCATCTGCTGTTGATGAAGAACGTGATATTACTAATGCGTCAAACGAAGAAAATCACGATAGCTTAATATTATCGGAGAAAGAAATAGTTAGAAGTGCTACCATTTCTGGAGATAGACAAGATCCAAATTTAAGCATTACTAATACTACAACAAGTCCATCCTTATTTACTAAGTTCTGGAATGGAATGAATATAGATAGTAAAGAAGTAAATATATTATATAATCACAAAACATGTTATATTACATGTGATGTTTAATATTAAGTGGTATATAAAATGTGTGTAAAATAATATTTCAGGTATCAAACGAGAAAATATTAACAAATGCAGGGAATAATACTGTAGTGCAGGATACAAATAAATCCAATAAAGAAGACGTTCAACCTTTAAAAGATCCGAATTCTGAAGTTAGGACAGGTATGGTTATGTCACATACCTTAAAGAATTTAAAAAATATTAATCATTTTTATTTCATATTTTATCAATAAATTTCTTTTTTAGGTGATGGTTATATCGTAGAATATTCGTTAGAATATGGTTTTCTGAGATTATCACCTGTAGCACGGCAAAGATTAAACATTCCTGTAAAAATCGTTACTTTGGATCCTGTTAACGATAAATGCTTTGGCGATGACTTCTCAAGATTAATACTTGATGAACTCTTAGGATACGATGATCTATTGATGGCAAGTATCAAGACACTGGCGGAACATGAAGATAATCAAGGATTTTTACGGTAAATAAATTTGAATTTATTTCTTATTGCTTATTATTTAATGCTAATATTGTAATATTATATATTAATTTTATTGTATAGAAACGTAGTGACTGGAGAACATTATCGATTTGTAAACATGTGGATGGCTAGAACTACATACGTTGCTGCATTTTTCATCATGTTAGTTTTTGTAAGTATACTTTTCTTCTGTTTCTTTTTTTCTTTTTTCTTTCAATAATCCGAACAATTGAAAGTAGAATTAAAATTCTTTTCTTTTTTTTATATGAAATTAAATATTTGATATTATATGTAAAATAAATTTTTTATCAATTCAAATATACATGATTCATTTTTTAATTTAAATCTTTTTACACCTTTTGTGTTGGAAAAATTATTTATATTACGACGTTATGGTATGACAATATCATATTACGATAATCATAGCTTTCAGAATTTTTTGGAAGTGTAAATTAGAGTTAGTTTCATGTGCTACGTATTTTCGATCTGGATATATTCCTCTCCGTCAAGGGGTTGGTGTCACACGTATCCACACGACAACCCAGTACGTGTAAAAGGATATGGCAATCAATTTAAAGTAACCACGCACTGAGGTAACCCGTGTATAACTCTCCAACCACCTGTACCCTTACATCCTGTGATCCCCTTGGAATTGAACCGTCAGATATAAATCAACGTTATTAGAGGTATCATATTCGTTACAGAAACCCCAAGTTAGTAATTTTGTATCAAATTGTTCTCAAATATGTTTTACTGCAACCGGCAAGACACAATTGTTAGAAATTTGAAATTTGAATCGGTTTAAATGATTATAGAAACTTCACAATTACAGCTTATAGCTAATTTTTTCTTTTTTTTTCTTTTTTTGTCAAAATAAATATTAGCTTGTACGATTCTTGATAGTATTTTGTAATTGAATAAGCAACTCATGTTAATATTTTGTCGAATACTGTATTCCAATATAAATAGTACGCATGTCTGATGGGTCATGAAATTTCGGGGTATTCCCCGGATGTTAGGAAGTGATTGGATCATATACGGACCAACGAATAACTCCACTCGTGTTTAATGGGTTTACGCCGAGCGAACAAATGAGTAATATTGCATACTACTAACCATGATTCAAATGCAATGCATTGTGCGGCAGTCTACATCTAGTTCATATCTAGATATTCACGATGGATATAGTGAAAAGCCAATTATTCTATGCATGAATAATTTGAGTAGAAGAAATGTTCAAATACGAATTAATAGAATATTTGCAGGATTTATTTGTTATTCGAATGAATTTTATATAAGTATAGATACATTAGTTGAACCTGACAAGTATAGGCATATTAGATTATCTGATTTTCTTTTCCTTAAATTTCATGCAATTGACTTTATCATTTTGATAGTTTGAGTTTTATCATTTTGTAACTATTTTAAATTTACGTAAATGTCTACAATTGGAAGCAACGATTACAGTGCTGTAATTCAGTATCGTTTTATGATTACACTTACAAAATGATTACTCTTTTGTGAACGATTGTTTTATCGCGTATAATTACAATTTAATGGTGACGATTTAATTAAATAGAATTTATTAAAATTTATTAAAAGTGTCATTATTGCATTACGTTTCAAATGATATATAGCCTCTTTTGGATATAAGTCATCATAGTATCTCGCGTAAAATATTAAAAATGTTGGGATGTATTCTGGGATTAAGATAGAAGATAGATGAATCTCGTGCCGTAACACGTGAGTGTTACTTCAGTGCTTGGTGTACCACCTGGAACCACCCTCGATAAACCCACCTTAAAGTCACGTGTACAGGGCTGTCGTCATCTATGTATTATTTCGTATCTATTCTACTCTGTCATATGCACACAAGATCGGTATATATTCCACGTTACAGTACGATATATACATATATATTTGCTTTGAAGTTTTTTCCTCCCTCTTTTGATTGATTGTGCATTTCTTTTCTCGTAAAAGAGACGTAATAATCTCAGTAAAATATATGGTATAATAGGAATTTAAATGTTAAATGCAATTGTTGTAACCAGTTATTAACATAATAATTTATTAACATAATAATAATTACATAATCTCCTGATTTCGGCAAATGATAAGGCCAATATGTTCAATTTTAAAACTAACGTTAGTCGACGTTCGTGCGATGTTCTTAGTTAATTGTTTACATATTTATTATTTAGATCGTCATTTTAAAAAGGTGAATTATATGTTTTCAGTGAAAATATATTTTTGTTTTAATATAATACACACAAGTATAAGATATTTTTTAAAGACTGCACGTATTTCGAAGCAAGTTTTGCAATGGAAAAATGTTTTGGATTTTGAGTTCTTATATAAAGAATTTACAAAAAGTGATATGAATTTCTGAAAAAAAAGACACTCGTATATTGATCTTAAATTTTTCCAATTTTTTTTTTATCCGTTTCTCGTAAATAACACTGACGCATCTGCAAAGTACTATTAAACGTTTCCGTTACCAAGGTTGCTCATAGTAAATAGTGAATTATCTCTCGGGGTGTCAGGTGCTAGTTCAATCTGAACCATTCGCAATTCAATTGCACTATTCTCTCTCAACCTGGTAACCGAGTGCTACCGTTCAGTTTGCAATTTGCTTCGTATCGTGTCTTTATTGCAATTTTCTCCCACGAAATAATAAGTATTTTCACTTTTGTAATATAAATTAATCGATATTACGTAGAAATATCAATACGATTATTTTATTTGAATTTGAAAAGTAAAAAGAAAAATTAATAACTCCATTTTGCGTGACTCTATCCAAGTAAAAATTTATTTTCTTACGATTTATTAAAGTTTACTTACAACAATGTATTTTGTTATTTCAGACCATTTCGATTTCGATGTTACTGCGATACTCGCATCACCAGATCTTCGTTTTCATTGGTAAGTAATCGCAAAAATTATTTAATTTTCGCTTGCTCTTGTAATATCATAGATGTTGGCTGGTATTTGTCTCTTCTAATCATTTCTTTAATCATTCTGTAATCATTTTTCTGTGTGTAATATTCATGCTTCAATGACATTTATGCTTTGTGTTTAATTCAGCTATAAATTTTAACATTGGATTGCGTGTTTTCCATTTATACTACCGGTAGATGCCTATTTCATACGAGCTCCGGATCGTAAGAAATACGCAAAATTCTAATTCACAAAGTAGTACCCTTTCCACAGAAGCTTTTGGCTTCTTTCCTTTGACATTAATTAATCTATAATTTAATCTTTGATTATATAAAGGTGAATGCCCTCTGATCTGATAATAGAATTAATTGATTTCCGTATCTGTAGCTTTATAAAATTCAAGTCGATACCGATTTTAAAAAAGTTTCTATCTGGACAAGGAATCAAAAAAAAGATATCGATTATCTGAAAATCTGAGGTGAATATCCTCTTATCCACGGTCGTGCTTGTAACATTTTTTACCCTCTCCCCTTGCTCGGTTTCTTTATAAAAAGGCTTTTTTAAACAATTGCCTTTATATTTCCTTACAACTAGTCGACAGTCGTTTCTCTCGCACGCTTTCCCGATGATGGAAGCATTGTCTATCTTCGAGTTGTTGTTCATCTCCCTGGTGGTCATCTGTACGGCCAAGTTGATTTCGCTAGTGTATCTACAGTTGACGTATTGGAAGAAGAACAAAGTTCCATACGTGCGGGCAAGGCCGATATTTGGAACCCTTTGGAAAGTGTACCTTCGTCGCATCACTTTCCCGGATTATTGCAAATTCGTCTATAATTATTATCCGAACGTACGATACGTCGGGGTGATGGATTTCGCCACGCCGACAGTGATCGTACGGGATCCGAAGCTGATCAGCGAGATGTTCGTAAAGAATTTCAAACATTTTCCAAATCATCGGAGCTTCGTGTCCGAGGAAATGGACCCGATTTTTGGGAGAAATGTATTTTCCCTGAATGACGATCGATGGAGGGAGATGAGGAACACGTTGAGTCCATTCTTCACCGGCAATAAGATGAGATACATGTTCGAGTTGGTGTCCAAGTGCTCGAACAACTTCGTTGATTATTTGTACGAACACTCGGAATTTCATTCCGCGGTAGAGTTGAAAGACATCTTCACCAGATACAGTAACGACGTAATCGCAACGGCAGCTTTCGGAATAGAGGTGAACTCGCTGAAGGATCCAGACAACGAGTTCTACAAGAGAGGACTCGATGTCTCCTCCTTGTTCGGGGGTACTCTTCGTTTTATGAAATTCCTGTTGTTCCGATTGAGCCCGCGTCTAACGAGAGCGGCGGGAGTGACGTTTCTGTCTCGAGCGACGGCCAGATTTTTCTGGAACGTGATCTCCGAAACGGTAACCGCAAGGGAGAAACGAGGCATCGTTAGACCAGACATGATACATCTTATGATGCAGGCCAAAGACTCGAAGAAACCTGGTTCGTCCTGTATGACTATCGACGACATCGTAGCTCAGGCGTTCATTTTCTTCTTGGCCGGTTTCGACACTGTTTCCACCTTGATGTGCCATGTCGTTTACGAGTTGGCTTTGCATCAAGACGTACAGCAAAAGCTACGCGAAGAGATAGACGGTTGTTTGAAAGCAGGAAACGGGAAAATTTCTTACGAGGCTATGTCGAACATGGAGTACATCGAAATGGTAATATCCGAGGCTCTCAGAATGCATCCTCCGACGTTGATAGTGGACCGAGTTTGCGCAAAGAAATTCGAATTGCCTTCAGCGGCGCCCGGTTATCAAACTGCGACAGTGTATCCTAATAATAACGTTTGGATCCCTGTTATTGCGATTCATCACGATCCTAAGTATTTCCCTGAACCGGAGAGGTTCGATCCCGAACGATTCAATAAAGAAAATAAGAACAACATCGATCCGCACGCGTATATACCGTTTGGCGTTGGCCCTAGAAAATGTATTGGCAATCGTTTCGCGTTGATGGAAACGAAACTTTTGATAATCCATCTGTTGGCAAAATTTGTTATAAAACCTAACGAAAGAACAAAGATCCCCATTGTGTACAAGAAAGTTGATTTTACGCTGGCCTCGAAGGACGGATTTTGCGTCACTCTGGAAAAAAGAAAGTCAAATTCACCGTAAACGCGTATGTGTACGTTTTACGTTGACAAATGTATAATCGATCGATTGGTTTTCTTGTTTTATTCCTCTTTCTTGTTTTAATCTGAAGCCGTTTCTATCCTCAAGGGTGTGACGATCTTTTCCACGGTTTCATTTTCTTTATTTTTGAGAAAGTAAAATTCGATTGATTCTCCATTGCGAGATTAAATATTGTATCTTGCGATTAAATAAAATTGGCGAACAACGAACAATCTGAATAAAATTTGCGATATTTTTCTTTTCGTCCTATTTCTCCACGAACTTAAGGTTTATTAAATGGAGCGTTAACCTAAATGAATGATAATACAAAAATAGTGCATTTGTTCAAACTGCGCTGCAAGATATATATATATAAGATGAACGTAAGATGTAAAAAATGAACGTTTTAACACGCGCGAGTGTTTTAAAACGGGATTGCGTAGTTGCGGATAATACCGCTTTAATTCCCATACGTATTTTTTCATTTTTGTAAACGACGAATGTTTCCGTTCAAAGCGGCGGCAAGATTGACAGCAACAATTGTTGCAAAATGTATTTTCAGAATATTGACGAGGAAGAGCGCAGTTTGTTGCACGCAGTTGACATAACAAACATTCTACCCGCTTCTTCTCTCTCGCTTGTCACAACGACACAAATCCGCATACGTGTTTGCCCATGTTTGTAACATTTCTCCTAGTCGCTAGAGAAACAGAGTCGCTCTTCAATCGAGCCTCGTGGCGATGAAAGTAGCATTCTTTCATTTTTCTATTTTTCGTTGAAACTGTTGGCGATCGGCTTGATCGTTCTTGGTCTGAGCAAGTGGTGTCTGACAATGAATTTATTACATCAGCAGTACAGTTACTGGGAAAAAATGGCACGTTCCTCACGTTGGGATTCGTATTCACGTGTCGCGTGTTTCTTCCCGATTATTGAACGTTCGTTTTTACAATTATTTATTAGCCGAACGCGAGGTATAATGGATTTCTCTATGCCAGTTGTGGTAATTCAGGGACCGGAGATGATTCGAGTGAAGAATTTCGAACATTTCCCCGATCGTCAGAGCTTTATCAACGAAAAAATAGATCTGATCTTTGGGAAAAATGAAAGATACCAACGTCATAAAGTATCACTTATCGATAGATACTGTCTAATTTTATCGTCAGTTGTAATATATTGGCGATTACTCTTGCTTTTGTTCAACATTAACTTCCACTGTTAATTCTAGCGATATTTTCATTCGAGTCACGTAAATACGTTTCAAGTTGCACGTATTATCTCGAGTTCGTGTGCCTTCGAATTTCGATAAGAAGACGTGGACGTTCTTAAAATTCGTTGTACGAAATTTTTTTCCTTTTATTCGATTCGTTATGATGGAACAGCGACCCGTGTATTTTTCCTGTAACAAAACATCCGCAATACCATTGCAATTAAAATATGTATACACGATACTAAATTGTTATTGTATCACGCCTCAGAAGTTTGGTCATCTTTCTAACATGTCAATCACTTTTCTCACGTTTTTTTCCCCATCTCTCCTACTTGCATTATCATTCCTTCTTTCCAAATCTCAACAATTAGTTTCTCGTCTTATTTCATTACGAGAGGGAAAAATTTATTAGCGGCAATTTGTTACAGTTTCTTAATAGTAATAAAATTAATAGAGATGAATTTCCATGCCTATTTATGTATAAAATACTGGTTAATATCAGTTATTGAATCAATAATCAACCATCGAAAATTTCAATAGTCTCGCTATCTCGATGTCGGCTTTGATGGACAATTTTTTGTTTTTCTCTATTTCCTTGTTGAATTTTTCAAGTGTTTGCGATTAGTTAAGCCGATAGGCGAACGATAAAGAACAGTTTTTTTCCGATATCCATTTATCTAATCGGTAAACTTAGAAATTACATTTTTACAAGAGAAAAAGAAAAAGAGCAAAGGACAAGCGTGGTGCAGGAAAGCTTTTTCTAATTTTTCTATAGGAAAGCTTCTTCTAAAACTTCTAGGCTTTCTGTTTTTCCATCGGTGACTGTCTATCGGATATTTTCGACAGTTTCAAAATCGTTCGATCGTCAGGATCGTCAAGATCGGTCTTCTCTTCTGTCTCCTATTCATCTTTATTTCTGCCATTCTGTTTTCGTTACATTCCATCTCTCTTCTTCCTCTGTGTGTTTCTGACTTCTCTGCTTTTTCTTTTCAGCATTCCTCATTCACCATCGCTCATCTTGGCTTTCTTATTGTTGCGTTCAGCTTAAAATATTTAGGCAAAATGCTTCAAGTTTACGCATGTACGCACGTAGTCGATCTTTGTCCAGTGAATGTTTAATTCGCAGTTGCAAATGTATCCTGTGAAAATCACAGTGCTTCTTTAACTGTGGCAAGTGACGATCATTCCGATTTACCCTTCCTTTCTTTCCCATTTGTGTCCCGTTGGCAACCTTAAATCGATGTCAATTCAACGATGACAAATCCTCGCCAAAGAACAAAAGCGATTTTTTTTTTTTAGCAAGTTCGTTAGCTCCGTAGAGAACGTCAAATTTGCCAAATTAGCTTTTATCAAAGATAAACGTATCGTACGCAATCGTACGTTGACCCGCGTAAAAAAATAATTTCGCAATACGCTTGCTTGGCAGGGGGGTGGAGTTTAGATTATATAGGGCAAGATGGAGGACACGAGAGTTTTTAATAAGCAGTGGAAGTGGTTTTAGTGGGTGATATCTTGAAATCTAAAATTCATTAAATCGAAACGCGCGCCGAGGTTGCTGCGCCGTGTGAAATTTGTAAGTGGCGATACGTACCGGCCCGTTGTAAAGAAGGCGCGACATGCGTCGTCGTTTGGGAATAGCTGAACTTCTTAATTACGTTGCTACGCTTCGACTAATTTACGGAAGAGAGACAGAGTACCCTTATGAAAGTTATTCCTGAATAATTTAAAACGTTCAGCCTGCAGTTTCCCTCCTGTTGAATTAAAGATTCCCGGGAGTTTTCTTTTTCTCCTTTTTTTTTTTTTTTTTTTGTTCTAGAGACTAAATTTCAACGTGCAATCACGAAAAAATATTTAATATTTTAGTTTTTTATTGATTCTTTTTATTGATACTTCATTGCTACGTAAGTGAAAAAATTAATCTTATTGGTAGTCTTCATAGGATTCGAGACTGGTCGGAACGAGGAAATAACGTTTTGTCGTACGACATTGTCCAATTTTGAGATCCAATCGACCATTACATTTAATTCTTTTGTTACCTTCGCCACAGATCGTTGTTAGATACGTAGCGTTTATATTTTTGCAAGAGAGGTATATTCTTCTTACGAGAATGCATCGAATATATCAGAAGGATCTACAGCCAAATTATTTAGTAACGCAAGGCATCGGATACACGTGTATTTTATCGAATTGCAATAATTTTTTTTTCAATTGGATAATGTAAGTTCGTAAATGTGTCGAATCCACGTTAAAGCTAATTATTCTCGCAAAGTTTGAAATTTAACATATTCATCAATCGTGATTTGCAAGTTAATAATCGCGTTGCAATATAGGACGATCGCAGGACAAAAAAAAAAAAGGAAAAAAAGGAAAAGGAGGAAAATAGGAAAAAGAAGAGGGAAAGACAGAAACAAAAAAAAAAAGAAAAAAAAAAAAGAAAAAGCGAATGGAATAAATTAGTGAAAGGTTGTGTATGGATTGAGTGTAGTAAGAAAAGCGAAACCTTGTCTCTCTCGTCTCAGGACGCGCCGATCGAAAGTTTGCGAGAACTTAAATCGAGATCCAGGAAGTTTTGAAATTAATTCTTATTGAGCTTTGAACCGACTCGTCGAACGCGACACGATTTCTTCACCGGCCCTCAACTTGTGTAATAACCTTTCGCTCGAGAACTTTTCGTCACGGAGTATCTAATAAATATTAAATTCGAACCGTTCGTCGTCGAGCATAACGATCTCGCGATACAATATCGCGTTGCCACGCATTTACTTCACGGAATATAAAGTACATTTTTTATGAATTCTTTAAACGCTTTCATCGTTCTTTTCTTCCCTTCTATTTCCCTCCCCACCTTAGGCTTAGAAAATGACTCGACCAATGAGTCGATTAGGAAGCTGCTCGCACGAACAGCTTCACCGTTTTTCACGTGAAATATACTTCTTTTCCCTTTATTTCAGTGGATCTGCTTCAAATGTTGGAGTTCAACTTGACGGTAACGTTCCCTGCTGCGTCCCTGCTCACGGTGCTTCTGGCTCTTGTTGGTGAGTTTAGTATTTTACTCTCTTGATCCAGTCAATTCAATGTTAAAATTCATTTCCCGTTTGCATGTACTGTTTCGTAAAATTACCGCTATTTAAATATTTGAGCATATTGAGCTTATTACCAAGTAGATACGTTTCTCCAGATCGGTAAGTATGTACGTGTGTACGAACATTGCTAATTTTTTCACGTTCTGCGCAACAAACTCGAGATTTTCTCGGTCGATCGCCTTTCGACGTTATCAAGGATTTTGTTAAAAGAGGATCGAAGCGTGTAACAGCTGCTGTCTATGTGTTAAACTCTCTGGCTCTGGTTGTTAGTCGTCGGAACGCGCGTGCCGAAGGTGCAAAATATTAAAGGCTTTTTACTAAATCAGAGAGCTCCTCTCTCTCTCTCGCTCTCTCTCTCTCTCTCTTTCTCTCGGTTTCGTTCCCTCGCTGATACGACGTTAGCTCCGTTACAAAGCTGATTGGTCGGGACGGTTAACCCAGGATTCTGCATAAATTTCTGATGAAGGCGCAACAGTTGGGTAACCCGCTCGGAGCCCATTTAGTAACGGTGGCGGCGTCGGTGGTTTCCCTACCACCGCGACGCCCATTTCCATTTCAACCTGAATCTCCTCTTCACGCTTCGCATGTCCGTCAGCGCCATCCAATTGACCTGCATAAAGTGCGATATCGCTAATCCCCCTGTGCAAGGCTGCCCGACGGTTTTCAAAATCAAATTTCATACCTATGATGCTGCAGAGATTTCCAAAGTCCGTCGTCTTCCTCCCCGTCCGTCGTGTCGCGTTCGAGCTCGATTATGGGAGAGTTTCTCTCCTTGAAGAAACAGTCTCCTCGAAACTGTTATTTTTGACCACGTCTCCAACTCGGTGGAACTTGTTTATTCGATAGCAAGCCATTGGCACACCGATCGGGTTTTCCTCGATAAAGGAGATCCGTCTCGGTG